CGTGCAGCAAATCAAACCGAAGATGCTTCCACGTCCACATCCCGCTGCCTCTGCCCAAGCAACTGGTGATCTTCGGTCTGGGCGACTGGGGTCGCGACGAGACCATCTCCGCGCAAGTCGTGGTCGACGCTGACGTGCGGCCTCAAAACATTGGCACACTCTCGTCTCAAGTCAAGTGCGTGTGGGACAACGGGTGTTGTTTTTTTTTTTTTTTTTTAAATCTCACTGCGTGGGTGGATAGGAGGTGAAGTGAGTGGGCGCTCGCCTCTTCTCTTGCAGGTGCTTGACGTTTGAGGGCGGCTGGAGTCCTGATATCCTGGCGGTGGCGGCACAAAAGGGCAGGAGAGGAGTTTATGGCAAGATAGTGCTCACAGTGTGTGGACAGGTACTTGATTTATATTCAAGCGGTGGACAGTCGGGGCCAGCTAGGCTGGTATGCTAGCTTTGTTCTTTAAGGCCTGAGTGTGTGTGTGTGTGTGTGTGTGCGCGCGCGCGCGTGTGTGTCTCAGGGGCAAGGGGTCGTTGGATCGGGTGCAGAGGTCATTTATAGCATCAATTGGTTTGGCCGCTTCATTAGGAACAGCAAGGAGCTGTTGGATGCTTCCGCGTGTTATTTCTCATATTTAAAAGAGAGTTTTGTCCTTGTTAGTGGAGAAATGGAGCAAATATAGGGCAGCCTCCCCTCAAACCTATCGGCCTCTCCAGGTTTTAATCCGGGACACGATACGGGAACCACACTGACACAGGGTATAACTGGACTCCAATATAATATTATCGTATTCATGTGATGCTTTGTTTGTTTTCCATACAGCAGCTAGTGTCCTCGCTCTACTTATATTTCTGTCCATCATCTCTTTTCTTCTCTGCTGTCACTCCCCTCTTCAAAAAAGTACTCTCATTTCCCCCCATTGTTAATGTCTCCCTGAAACAGTTCCAGGAGCAAGGCAGCTTCTTAAGCAGCAGTACTCCACTGGCCCAGAGGAAATGTCTGTTCCCAGAGCAGCTCAGCGCCGCAGATCTCTCATGCACTTCCCAGCTAAGTGATGCAAAGACCACGGTGAGACGACAGGCTTGAAGTCTGTTCACGTGTGTCGCTTCAGTCCAATTCATATGCATCTTTCTTAGAAGGGAACCCTCAACTCTTCACAGCTTGTTGACAGTGTTTGCTATGGTGATGTCCTGGCTAATAAAGTGGATACCAGCACTTCAGCCATGGAAAGTAAACTTTCACTTTGGCCTACGGTAAGAGAACTGCTTTCAGTCGATATGTATGTGCGAGTTGCGTCTTTTTTTTTTTTTTTTTTTTTTTGCGAATCAAACACCTCTTATATGCAAAACAGTTGGATGTGTGTTTTGAAAAGTTTTCTGTATTGTTTGAGAGTCAAGTGTAGCCCTGTCTTGACGACCTAATAGCATAATGAGATCATTGTTGAGAGGATGTCCCTTCCTTCGAAAGGATGAGACCCCTAAACGGACTGTAATCGGCAAAAGAGGCCGTGTAACGTGGAGCTCCGATGATAGGGCCAGTTCCATCGAGGGCGATGACCAAGCTTCGACTCCCAAGAAAATGAGGCTATCCCGAATGAACAGCCATGAAGAACTGACTGAGCAGATAAAAACGGAGGATAGAGAAGGTCAGAAACCTAGACTTGGCGACTTCTTTAAAATGACATCAACAAAGGTGAATCTGCTTTTGACATAGATCTGCTGTAGTTTCAGCGTGTCCGTCAAATCGATGGAGGCACGCAATGTGCCTCAGCGACCCAGACACTGCCATACTTATTGGTGGAGAAACTACGGATCAGAAAACCTGCAAGGACTCCCTCTGGAAGCTGGAGTTAGGTCAGTGCAACCCGGTGGGGCATTTGAGTCCAGACACAAATGCATGCTATAATTTACTTCTGTTCTTTCGGCACCAATTGTTATGGCGAGTCATAAAACTCTCTTAGTCACGGTCATTTCAGAATTTGGAGAAGGTGCCTTTGCGTGATCTTGTTAGTATATTCATCGGGCTTAAAGGCACTCTTGAAGGATGAGCATAATAATAGGAAAGGCAGTCAGGTCAGATGTATGTACAGCGTTCCTCCATTGTTCCATTTCTGGTTCTATGGCCACCATCACGCTCTCTGTCAGAGATAGGGTGAGAGGCTCAGCGCATTGAGAGGAGCCAGATGAGGTGGCATCTGGGTTTGTTTCCCGCACGCCTCTCTGGTGAAGTGTGTTGGCCACATCCCAAGCAAGACCGAGGACATGTTAGTGAGACAAAGTCTCTCTGCTGGCGTTGATTTTTATGGAAGAGGTTGACAAAGTGGCTGAGGAGAGGCAAGTCTGGGTCGAGATAAGTGGAAGATGATAAATGCATGGATGGTGGTCAGTACTCGGTGGTCTGCTGAATGCAAATGAAAATCCACTGTTTCCCTTTATTGTGTGCCCCCCCCCTCTTTTGCAGACCATGATTTCTGGTACCCAATGAGCTCCTCCACGTGCGGACCTGCGCCTCCTTGCACCAGGGGGAACTCTGCGACTTATGACCCCGAATCGAAGGCCGTCTATGTTTATGGTGGACTGACGGAGGGCCAGCGCAACAGCGAGCTGTACATCCTTAATACTCTGACCTGGAAGTGGAAGATTGTCACAGTGGGTTTTTGTCACATTTAAACTTGTTGGAAGTAATTTGAAAAAAAAAACAAAAACAACCCATATCCGTTTTCTTTATTCCATTTAGACTAAAGGGAATGTTCCTACCTTGGCCTATCACTCTGCTGTTTTTTACAAGAAGGAGCTTTTTGTCTTTGGTGGGGTTCATCCAAGTCAGTCTTCTGGAGAAAAGACATGCAGTAATGCTCTGTACATCTTCAACCCAGAGTTTCAACTGTGGTATAAGCCCATAGTGGAGGGAGACAAACCTCTGCCTCGCTTTGGGTCAGTGTCCACCCCCATTCACTACAGAGCTAATTCTTTTTGTTATCATTATTTTTCACCCCCGAGTGTTAATTTTTTTTTTTTTTATGTCTTATTTTTTTGTGCAAAAGCCACTCGATCACACTTCTGTCACACAAGCTGATCATATTTGGTGGTCGGAAAACTGCCACATATCTAAATGACCTCCATATCCTTGACCTGGGTAAGAATACAAATTCAATAACTGTGCTTTTTGTTGAAGTTTACACAGATGATGCCTCCCCCTCTCCTCTCCTTTCCTTTCCTTTCCTTTCATGGGTGAAGGTTTTATGGAGTACACAGCTGTGAAGTACGGGAACATGCCACCACTGCCTCGAGGGTGAGTACAGCACACCATGACCTTGAGAACAGTTATTCCTGCAGATACTGAATACAGTCTGTATAATTTAATCATTTCACATTTTGGGCTACTTGGGTCTCGTGCCATCAAAACCCATTTTTCGACTGTTTTATGCCCAGCTGAAAATAAGTCTGCACCTTGATTAAAGATTGACATCCATGTGGTTTGTCCTTTTGCATGCTACAGCCTTTGAAATGCAAAGTCATGCAAAACCAGCAGATCAGAATTTTCCGTCGTCGTGACTTAGTTATGCTAATTGTTATTCAAGTACCCCACGCACTAAACCCAAATTCATGTGCTGCTGCATCGCAACAACCAATCTGTGTCCAATATGCTGCATCATCGCATCGTTTAGTCGGGAGCACCGGGAAATATTTGATAACTCCTGCTACTAAGACCATTAAAAAAAAAAAAAAAGGTCAGAGTACTTGACCAACAAGATCAGTTTGGAAAAAAGTGCATCTTGAGCTTTTCAAATGACCTTGCAAACAAGACAAAACTACAGATGATTTATGTGGCATGGGACTTTTGCATTTAAAAGAGCACTTTTCTGTGTATACATGAACAGGTTTCACGCTGCCCTCCCAGTTTCCGACAACAGGATTTTAGTGAGTGGGGGCTGCAGCGCAATCGGAGCCTTGCGAGATGTACATGTCTTCAATACTGGTAAATACAAAATATATTCATCCAAATACATTGCAACCTTAAGTCGAACACATGAATTCCAGGCCGTTGCTCCAGCTGTTATTTTTCAGTGTTTCTTCCAAGGCGGAATCTGCTTAGGGTCCAATGGTCACCTTCATAAGTCTTAAAAGTTTTAACATCGCTACAAGTGTTAAAAAAGGAAGTAACCACTTTTAAGTAGTATGTATCCTGATGGATAGCGAAACCACCACAGGTTTACTGCGTTGAATGTGTAAATGTGTCTGCCTCTGTCACATAATTTCTCTCCACATTCTTTTCTGATTACAATACATTCTTAATGAGTCAGCTCCTTTTTGTGTCACAAAAACACATTCGACAAAAGAAAAGACCGATGCAGCATGTCCACTTCAGAGGCCTAAACTTGTACATGTCACTCAATTTCAGAGTTTCCACTGTACAAACGTTTCAAATTCAAATCCACGGTTTCACTTCCCCAACCAGACACCAACCTGTGGAGTTCCGTGGCATCGTCCGAGTTGAGTTTCAAGCCTCGTGCTGGACACAGCATGATACATTTAACCTCATCAACAACTCCGGCAGACTCTCTGACACAGAGGCGTGATGAATCTGTCAAAGTCCACTGCACACTGCTCGTGTTTGGTGGCTCAGACTGCTCCGGTACATTCTACAATGATATGGTTAAGTGTGCAGTGGAGATTCCTTTTTAATGAATGTTTTTTTTTTTTAATCCGAAAGGACCCTAAAGTAAGTTTTTAAAATGTGTTATTGTGATGGTTGCAAAATGGCCTTTGACTATAATGCATCATTTTAGCAATCATTTGCAGCCTAGTCCTCTTTTAGCGCCACACATACCATAATTATCCATACTTCCTCCAAGCAGCTGATATGCTGCGGTATGTCACACTTTGCATAACAAATCAGTCATTTGCATAGTAGCCGTGTGGTCAACTGACTAAGTAATAATGATGTTAATAAATGTCCACGTTTTCTAACTAAGAGTTAACTTGTTTCAAATTACGGCCATAGAAAGTCGTTATGTTCAAAGCGTTTTATTTCAAGGCCTACAAAGTGCGGCAGCGCGCTGTTTCTCCTACGCTCGCAGCTCAACGGGTGTGTCCGGCTGGCATGACGGATGGCTCACTTGGAACGCGTCAATCTTCATTAAGGTTTGATTTAGCCTTTGGATAGTTGGATACAAGCTCATGTTCACTTGAAACCTGCAGCATACAGGAAACACAAATCAGCTGAGGCTTACAATCTAAAATTAAAAGGTTACATTGAAGGGGTCATATATATATATATATATATATTTTTTTTTTAAACCATGTAAGACAGTTCCCAGTTGTCTTGATGTCTGTTGCATTTGGTGGGGCTCAAGGTGTGTTTATTTGGCAAATGTGAACATGCTTTTGTTGTCCAGGGCCTTGACTTCTTTTCCAGGCTTGGAGGCTCGGCTTCCACAAGTAGGAGCACACAGTTGCCAAGTGAGGCGGGAAAGGAGCCAGCCAAATGCCTGCCGACTGGTTGTCAATCTACGTAATGAAAGCGAGGCTTGGCATTCGCCCAGCAGTATGTGGGCTGCGATGACGACTGATGCACCGCAGGAGTCAAAACAAGTGGAGATCACGATAGCAAGAAAAATTCTTGACCCTTGGAGTATTTTGACAAAAGCATGTTAAAACACCCGGGAACTGTTTTCATTTTGGAAGGAAAATGTATGTTTTTTTTTTTTTTTTTTAATCATATCTTGGGCACTGTGCAGTAAAAGTATTTTCCAAAATGTACCTCTCTGCATTGTAGACTTGTGGGACCAGACAGATGTCAGCCATGGATATCTAAAAGGCAAAACGAATCCAGTCAAACTAGCCCTTAATATGACATCCTCTTCATTTTCATTGTTTCTTTTGAGGTTCTTACCTCATCGCCGACACAATACTTCCCAGCAGTTTGCTTCAGCAGAGGCTCAAGAGCTGGATGAGTGCAAATATTGACATGATGAATATTCAAATGTCTTGCTGCTGTTGTCTGATGTCAGCTACTGACCTTCAAAACCTCGATTAATGAAGTATTGCGCCCACTGCACCTTCTCTGCGCCAATCTTTTGGATCACGTGTAGATTCTGAGACAGCCAACAGATGATGAGGTTTATCAGTGATGTGACATCAACCCTGTTGTGTCCCTGTGAGTTGAAGTACTGTACTAAAAAAAAATGCTCACCTGCAGAGGTTGAATCCCAGAAGCTATGAGATCACTTATCATCCGAACCTGAGCCCTCTTTTTGGGGTCCAAGGGCAGGAGACGCGGTTCGGGCCTTGTTTCATCAATGTACTGGATTACCGCCAACTGTGTTTTAGGCCAAACAATATTAATGTCACATCTGAGAGAAGAAACAAAAATAAAAAAAAACGTCATGAAGAATTAAGCTTTTGGGTGGAGCTCACCGACTGAGAAAGGGTGACGCCGTCAATTTCAACTGCGGGTACTTGCTGCATTGGGTTTAAAGTCTTGTAGTCTTCTGTGAGCTGTAACATACATTTTGTTACTAGAATTCCTGATTTGCTTTCTATTTTTGATTGCTCATGTAAACTGTACCTGCTGACCTCCATCTTTGATCAGATTGACGGGCACCTGGTCATATTCCATACCCTTCAGGGCGAAAGCTGGTGAACAAAATGGTTAAATATCACTAAACGATAAAATGGAGCGCAGCACAATGGACTTGTGGTTAGCATGTCTGTCTCTCCGTTCTAAGGTTCCCAATATAATTGATGCATATTAACTTAAATGAAGACTGTAAATGATAAAATGGGTATGACTGAGTGGAAATGGTTGTCCGTTCCCTGCAAATGGATGGTGACCAGTCCAGGGTCTACCCGCTTCTCACGCAGTCAGCTGCGACGGGCTCCGGCTTACCTGTGACCCCAATGAGGACAAGTGCTGTGGAAAATGGATGGCAAGCAGAGAGAGATTAAGGACTAACTTACCAATGCGCACCCGCCATGAGCAAGAGCTTCTGAAGTATCCATGGAGCACGGGCTGAATGAAATCAACAGAAGAACATAGCGTCATTACAAATCAAAAAGATCTCGAGTGCTCCAAATCATCCTTTTTCATTTCGTTTTAAGGTTCACCTTGGTTTGCTCAGACATTGCTTCTCAGTCAAGTTTGTACACTGGCACTGTGCAGTAAAAGTATTTTCCAAAATGTACCTCTCTGCATTGTAGACTTGTGGGACCAGACAGATGTCAGCCATGGATATCTAAAAGGCAAAACGAATCCAGTCAAACTAGCCCTTAATATGACATCCTCTTCATTTTCATTGTTTCTTTTGAGGTTCTTACCTCATCGCCGACACAATACTTCCCAGCAGTTTGCTTCAGCAGAGGCTCAAGAGCTGGATGAGTGCAAATATTGACATGATGAATATTCAAATGTCTTGCTGCTGTTGTCTGATGTCAGCTACTGACCTTCAAAACCTCGATTAATGAAGTATTGCGCCCACTGCACCTTCTCTGCGCCAATCTTTTGGATCACGTGTAGATTCTGAGACAGCCAACAGATGATGAGGTTTATCAGTGATGTGACATCAACCCTGTTGTGTCCCTGTGAGTTGAAGTACTGTACTAAAAAAAAATGCTCACCTGCAGAGGTTGAATCCCAGAAGCTATGAGATCACTTATCATCCGAACCTGAGCCCTCTTTTTGGGGTCCAAGGGCAGGAGACGCGGTTCGGGCCTTGTTTCATCAATGTACTGGATTACCGCCAACTGTGTTTTAGGCCAAACAATATTAATGTCACATCTGAGAGAAGAAACAAAAATAAAAAAAACGTCATGAAGAATTAAGCTTTTGGGTGGAGCTCACCGACTGAGAAAGGGTGACGCCGTCAATTTCAACTGCGGGTACTTGCTGCATTGGGTTTAAAGTCTTGTAGTCTTCTGTGAGCTGTAACATACATTTTGTTACTAGAATTCCTGATTTGCTTTCTATTTTTGATTGCTCATGTAAACTGTACCTGCTGACCTCCATCTTTGATCAGATTGACGGGCACCTGGTCATATTCCATACCCTTCAGGGCGAAAGCTGGTGAACAAAATGGTTAAATATCACTAAACGATAAAATGGAGCGCAGCACAATGGACTTGTGGTTAGCATGTCTGTCTCTCCGTTCTAAGGTTCCCAATATAATTGATGCATATTAACTTAAATGAAGACTGTAAATGATAAAATGGGTATGACTGAGTGGAAATGGTTGTCCGTTCCCTGCAAATGGATGGTGACCAGTCCAGGGTCTACCCGCTTCTCACGCAGTCAGCTGCGACGGGCTCCGGCTTACCTGTGACCCCAATGAGGACAAGTGCTGTGGAAAATGGATGGCAAGCAGAGAGAGATTAAGGACTAACTTACCAATGCGCACCCGCCATGAGCAAGAGCTTCTGAAGTATCCATGGAGCACGGGCTGAATGAAATCAACAGAAGAACATAGCGTCATTACAAATCAAAAAGATCTCGAGTGCTCCAAATCATCCTTTTTCATTTCGTTTTAAGGTTCACCTTGGTTTGCTCAGACATTGGCTTCTCAGTCAAGTTTGTACACTGAAAAAAAAAAGTTCTACCGAGTTGACCACAGCCGCGTCCTCTCATAGCCAATAGGATGCGCTCCTCGCATCCCTCCTACCTACTCTTTGGTCCATGACTAAGCAACATCGGGGTCCACGTCTGCATTACATTATCCACCATGAACAAACAGGATGAACAAGCAAACAGTAACGATTCGGAAGTACGCTACCTTTGCCAGGAGAACACAGGATAATCGCATAGTCAGAGCCGGGTTAGTTTTTTACTTCTTTAACGTTTGGTCAAGAGTGTCATCGTGGAAGTGACCCTGTTATTCATTCGTCCCAAACGGTGTATGCGCCTGATACTGTACTGAGTTGTATTTTTTGCCACAAATGTTGATGTTTTGGAAGCATAAATCAAAACAAGAAACAGGAAGTGTTTTGCTCGTCGATTGGTCAGAATCCGTTGTGTAGGCGGGATTTTGCAAATTATCTCCTGATTATTGGACCGGATTCCTCAACGTCAGCCAACCAGATTGCCCTTTTACAGCCTTTGGTGCAGAGTTTGGACCAATGGTGAGCTTTAAATTTACATAAGCCCCGCCCAGCCCTTTAAAATGAAAAGTGAGCGCGGTCGTCTTCAGGTCATCCTCTACTCACCTGAATAGAAAGTTAAATTATGTGGACGTACATCTCCGCCATGGCCTCCTTGCCTTTAAGATCAACACTCAAGACAAAGGTAAAATTGAAACCATGTGTCGTTGACGCAGTAGGGCGTGCTACTTTGGCAAAATCTGAGGTCATTGGGGCTTAGACTTGTTTACACACCTCTCTCAGACAGGATTAACTTCACTTGGATCCTCTCCAAAGTGATTTTATTTTAATAATTACAGGTATTGGCATTTCACAAATATTTGTGTGATATGTGCGCTGCACAGGTCAACTTTCTAATATGTTAACACGGCCTCACATTAAATTGCCCTTTTTCGCCCCCTCCCCTCCAACAGATCCTGTTTAAAGCTGGCAGTAGGTGCTACTCCTCCTCTAAGGTCAGTTTACACCTTTTTACAGCTTTGCACATAATTTCTATTTTGACATAGAATATCTTATAAATGACCTGTTTTTTTTTCATGAACCTCTCCTTACAGCCCACCATCAAGCTGTTCATCGATGGGAAGTTTGTTGAATCCAACGCATCAGAATGGATTGATATTCACAATCCTGTAGGTATTCTGTCATAGCAGCAACATGGATTTGGCATCTTAATACTTCAGCCTAATATGTTTTTTTTTTTGGCATACTCTCAGTACACACACAAATTTTACCGCAAACTTGCAGTTTCATTGATGCAAATATGCCCCGGGTGCAACCAGTGTACTTGAATTAAAAGGCCCCTGCTGACATCAACTACTCAAATATTCATACAGTTAATCTGCACCACAGGCGACCAATGAGGTGATTGCCCGTGTACCAAAAAGCACGCAGCAGGAGATGTCTGCTGCCGTCGACTCCTGCGCCAGGGCCTTCCGCTCCTGGTCCGAGACCTCCATCTTGGCTCGGCAGCAGGTTTTTCTACGCTATCAGCAACTCATCAAGGACAACATTGTAAGGCAAAGGGTTAAATAATGTGACTCCTGTTTACTCCTGAGTTCAAACTGGTCCTATTGTGTCTCAGAAAGAACTTGCCAAGTGCATCACAGTGGAACAAGGCAAGACCCTCGGAGATGCAGAGGGGGATGTGTTCAGAGGATTGCGTAAGTAACACGTGTGCTTGTGCGTGTCTGGGCTTTAACTTTTGGTTACACAAATGGTTAATGAGTTATGTCGGCCACACGGAACAAAGGACACTCCTCTCTGTTTGACCTTTCAGTCTCAAACGCTCAGAAAAAAATTGAGTTCCAATTTATGTTTGGAGAATGTACTCAGAAGAAGAAAATAGGATTTTATTAGTGCCGTATAAGGGAAGAAGTCATTATGTTTAGCTGGTGGCTCTTGGACTAAATATTAATATCTCAGACAAGCATATTATGAGATGAAAACACACCAACTTGGAGGTCCTAATAAAGAAGTAGTTAGTAACTATGGGAATTTGTTTTCTGATTTGGGTGTTTGAGTGATTTGTCTTTAAATATTCTCTATTAGGTGACGTACGATTTGTGGAAAAAGTGTGATTAAAGTTTCTACTTTTCACTCATTTTTGAATACTAGATATCCGAGTTGCTTTGCTGGAGCTGTTAGATTTTGCTTCACGTCTGAAAAATTGATATATGTTAGTGATAACGGATGTATGATGTGCACAACAGACTGTAGCATCCCCAACCCCGATCTAACGTCTTTTGACTGAATGAACTGCAATAAAGTTCATTTCTTCTGTGATCTCAGAGGTCGTGGAACACGCCTGCAGCATCACCTCCCTGATGCTTGGCGAAACTCTGCCCTCCATCACTAAGGACATGGACACGTACACGTACCGCCTGCCCCTCGGCGTATGTGCCGGCATCGCCCCGTTTAACTTCCCCGCCATGATCCCGCTTTGGATGTTTCCCATGGGAATGGTGTGCGGCAACACGTACCTCCTGAAACCTTCGGAGAGGGTGCCAACGTGCGCCGTGCTGCTGGCCAAGCTGCTGCAGGATGCTGGAGCTCCCGACGGGACCCTCAACATCATCCATGGGCAACATGACGGTAAGTTTGTCCAGCAGGTTTATGTGTTTTTCCAGTTCCAATTCTTTAAAATGTCACAAAAAAAAATTGAACATGCTTCAAAGTACATTTTGTCGCAGCAGTAAATGCTTAGGATAGTGATTTCTGTGAATAGCAAAGATCTGTGAGTAATTGAGGACCACCCGAAAAGGTTTTTACTTCCCTGTAAATGCCACAAGATGGTGTCAAAGCACTTTTTATTCTGAACAGACAAGGCTGTCGTCTGACCAAAATGCATCCCCTCATTTCAGCATAGTTTTCTTGGCATCAAGATGTCACATGTTGGTCCTAAGCCAGTTTTTTTTTTTTTAAATATCAGGCATGGTTTGTCACAGAGAATAATTTGCCCCCAAGAATCTGCATCTTTGCAAATGCCGAACTGCAAATATGTATATGGAGGTTCGCTGGAGTATGGAATGGAGCAATTAAAACAAAGATAACTTAAACCTGCACCTCTACCATCTCTGGTATTACAAAACCATTTTGTTTATATGCAATAGAAACACCATTTATCTTTAAGTATCCTTGGGAACAAAAAGCAGACAGCTTCCCACCCTCCCTCCCATTTATTGAAGCTATTAAATTATAGTACTATAACAATGTAAGATAAATCATCTCTTTTCTATAGTGCTTGTCATCATATCAGAGATGAAATGTCGCCTATGTCAGTTAACTTTGGGCCAGAGTCAGCATACACCTCTGAACTGGGCATAAATCATTTCCAGGGCACATACGCCCAAACAAGCATTCACCATTTATTTTTTGGGACAATTACATCTTCAATAATTCCACCATGCATGGTTTTGGAATAGAGATCAGGAAAAAAAAAACAATGCAAGCACGAGGTGAATACCCAAATACTATTAAGCTAAGATTCAAACTTAGGACTTCTGTATCATGAGGCGGACAGCCTAAGCGCTATTCCACCATGCAGCTGTAATTTGAATTAGTATAGTAAAAATATGACTCCTCTTTATTGGCCGTAGTGTTTGCTGTCACTTTGTCAAGTTTATCTCCATTCTTCCCACCGTAGCTGTGAACTTTATTTGTGACCATCCGACCATCAAGGCTATCAGCTTCGTTGGCTCCAATCAGGCGGGCGAGTACATTTATGAGAGGGGCTCCAAAAATGGCAAACGAGTGCAGTCCAACATGGTGAGTGTGTAACAGGCGAGCTCATGACATTTTCAAAATGGACACTAGGTGGCAGCCTCATACAACACGTTCCTGATTCGGACACCAGTCTTGATGGCTTCAAGGAGGCTGTGTGCAATTTACAAAATTTATGGACAGTACTGTGCAATTATGCCATTAACAGTGTCATAGTGACATACGTACACACATATAGTAGCAATGTCTTTTCTTTGAAATACAATCACAAAGCACTCAAACGGATGACAAGTAGAAAAGGCAAAGGTAGCGAGGGAACACTGTAAAATTAAAAATCAGCTTTCATGTGCTTGTAGGGAGCCAAGAACCACGGTGTGGTGATGCCTGATGCCAACAAGGAGAACACTCTGAACCAGCTGGTGGGGGCTGCGTTTGGGGCTGCCGGTCAGCGCTGCATGGCTCTGTCCACGGCCATCCTGGTGGGCGAGGCTCGCGGCTGGCTGCCCGAGCTTGTGGAGCGCACTAAGGCTCTGCGCGTGAATGCAGGTACCCTTCTAGTTCAATTCCTTATCCAGACCCCCCTTGGTTTCCCCGGAGGCCTTTTGACCAAGCATAACAATCTTGGAGAAATAGAGAGGAAAGATTTTCACCAATATGACGCACAGGAAACCCTCATGTACAATTTCTGAGGGAGTTCCTCGGGCAGTCCCTTCTGTTCTGTTATTTGCATGCTTCTGGCTAATGTTTTGGAATGTCGCTACCACATCACGCGAGCGCCGGCTTACGTGTAACATTATAACCGCTTGTTTCTGGGGCCTGCTCAGGCGATCAACCCGGTGCGGATGTGGGGCCCCTGATCTCTCCACAGGCCAAGCAGCGAGTGTGCAGTCTGATCCAGAGTGCCGAGGACGAGGGCGCCAAGGTGCTCCTGGACGGTCGACGCGTTAAAGTAACGGGTTACGAAAATGGCAACTTTGTGGGTCCGACCATCATTGGCAATGTCACAGTACGTATTTAATCCGATATTCCATTGTTTTCCGACCATTATTGAGACAAGGCAAACAATGGCCTCTTTAGTTGAACACAAATCTATTCTATGAATGGCAGAAAGTGGATAGACAATATGAGTGAAGTGAACCTGCTGCCGTGAAGCGGAAAAGAGCCTTGAACACTTTTCTATCGCTGGCATAGATGCCAGGAGATTGATTATTTGTTGTCAATAAGTAATTGGGCCATGGCACCGTGGTTGAATCACTGCAATAGATATTTTGGAGCAGCACGGGAGCTGAGTGCTTAGAGACCATCTGCCTGACAGTTGAGAGGTCCTGGCTTTCGTATCTCTGCCTGGGCCCTTCTGTGCGGAGTCTTCATGTACTTTTCACTGGTCCTCCGACTACCTCCGACATTCCAAAAAAAAAAAAAAAGCATTTTAGGGTCAAATATAGTCATTGTCCAAATGCTCTGCATATGGCCGACGACCAGCTCGCTTGCCGATGATGACAAACGCTGTTAAAAATGGACGGATATTTCACAACCGCTTGTTGCTTCCACAGCCTCAGATGAGGTGCTACACAGAGGAGATTTTCGGACCCGTGCTGGTTGTCCTTGAGGCCGACACTCTCGATGACGCCATCCATCTGGTCAACGGCAATCCGTATGGCAACGGTACCGCCATTTTCACTACAAATGGCGCCACGGCTCGCAAATACACTCACGAGGTGGACGTGGGCCAGGTGGGTATGGATGACGCTAACTTTGTTTTTAAGCACAACGTATTTTCATCGCATCGTCATGGCTGTGTAATATTTTCAATGGGAAGAACCTCATGTTAAAAATTATTTTCCATGTCTAGTATAGCTGTTTGCCCCAAATCAAGATGTCCAAGTTTAATCAAAACAGAGGAACGTGTTCTATTAAAAATGGAGGGATTCCGATGGTCTTTTTTTAAGCATTGCCGGGTGTCACTTTGTTTGTTTGCCGGTGGAGCCCAGTCATGCCGTGTTTGCTGTTCACATGTCTCGGAATGCTGTGCGGGCCATGTGCTCCACTCTTCTCCAACAAACACACATTTTTTTCCCTCTATCCTCTTTGCCAAAAATCCACGGTTTCCAAACCTATTTGTGCCTTCTCGAATACTCTAACCACCCATGCCATGTCTCTCTTACACTTGCAGCAAACATGGCCCCCCTCCCCCCTTTCCCGGTCACTGCTTACTGTGTTTGCCAAAATTTAAGCCGCAAGTTATCTTTGTGCTTGTCCCTGCAATTTAGGCCCCAGGGGGATTTTTTTTTATAAACCTCTCAAACATGGAATTGTTCGTAAACCAGTTTTGTTTTTTTTGCAGGTCGGAGTCAATGTTCCCATCCCCGTGCCTTTGCCCATGTTCTCCTTCACAGGATCAAGAGGATCTTTCAGAGGGGACATGAACTTCTATGGAAAACAAGTAAGCAAATAAATGTTTTCCGATCCTGGAAAGCAAAACAAGCTCACTCTTTCTGATAACACTGATATTCTTTATTTGTATCCAGGGCATCCAATTCTACACACAGATCAAAACCATCACTTCCCAATGGAAAGCTGAGGATGCGACACTCAAGGGTCCTGCTGTTACCATGCCAACAATGGGACGCTAAGTAACCCATAATGACTACCGGACCTGGAAACGTCTCCGAAAAATGACGACTGCTCAGCGACTTAATGGTACTTAATAAACAGTAGACTTTATCGTAATTCTGATAGCATTCAGGCAATCTATAAATGTATCACCACACTCCAGTCAAAATGTCAACTGCCCACCTACCTGCTGACAGAACTTCAACAAAAGTGTCGGGACACTAGCTCATTACCCCTCAAAGGAACTAAAAATATGGAAAAATGATCCCCATGATTTCACCATTCGCAAGTAGGTGACTCGCAGAACCGGAACTGTTTTGGGAAGAGTAGCTAGCATTGGTCACTGGCCAGTTTCACAGTGACAAGCAGCATGACATGGAGGGAAGATTCCAGTCGAGTTCCAGCATGCAGGGTGAGGTTCCATGAAGCGTCGATGAAGAAGAAAGCAAGGAGGTAAACTTTTAAAGGTAATGCAAAGGATGGCCCGCAATTGGCTACCAGTCAGGGCCCAACTAAAAATATTTGTTTTGAGATACTGTATCCGATATGTATCTTTAAAAAAAATAGAGTCACTAAATCAAAAAAGTAATAAAATGGCAAAGCGGAAAGGAGTGATTGCCATTTTTGTGGGTTGTGAAGCGGGGACACGTGCATCGTCGTGCTGAGTTTTTGTTTTTTTTTGGGGGGGGGGGGTTCATTCAACAAGAACATTCTTGAGGTCGATGATTTGGGCCAGACAGTCACAATCTATACAATTCAAAAGATGTTTAACGGGGTTGGGGTGAGAGATTTGCTTTGGAAAAAAAAAAAGGCTTTTCCTCAAACTCATGTTACCAACTCAGAAGCACAGAATACAGAGCAAACGGTCCTGCTAAATGAAAGATTTAACACGGCGTGTCCAACTCTTAATTTAATAAGGGATGAAAATATTGCAAGGGAGAACCAACCTTGCCTTACAATAGCATTAACAATGCGGTAGACCTGCAAGTGAGAGACAACAAATCAAAAGCTTAATGATGGACTAGAAGGCCACGTCAAGATCATGTGGTGTGTCTCTCCTCCAAGCAGTTGGTGTTGGTGGGTCCAAGGGAGTTAGGCGCCTGAGTAATGAAAGTTGACAGGGCGCAGGGCTCCTCTCTAATTCAGAAAGAATTCATGATCATTATACATGCGGAAATGTCACAGATTCATCATAGCGCAGCATCTTTGCAGCTAAACATGGAATGCAAGGCCCAATAAATCTGTGCAGGATTTTATAATTGCAAGGATAAAGTATAACTTTTATTTCCGGAACATTTCATTTGGTGTCTTACCCAGCAACATGACTGTCAGATGAGGACACCACCGGATTGTTGGCTCTCCTGTCAGGGGGAAATAAAAAGTTGCAGCTCATTGCCTTGTGTTCCGCATTCGTTGTCTGAGGTCCACGCACATTTGCCGTGAGATGTTCCGTTCGTCCAGTGGACTAAGTGCTTATGTGATCTCGGGCCATACGTCCAGATACGCTGAACAGTCCCTTCTCAAATCATTTTTCCAGCAGCTCTCTGACCACAAATGTTCAAAGGACTAAATAAACTTAAGTGTGCACGTGAGGAGGAGCCAATAGCCCGAAAGCGCATTGAGGTGACCAGATGTTTGTTTCTATTTTTACTATTGTGCCCAGACTCTTTTCTTGACTCGTTTTAAGCAGCAGGATGGAAAAGAAAATTGGTTGAAGCCGAACTGATGTTTTATGGTATCCTCTTAAGCAGAGAAAATGACTGTTAAAAACATTAAAAAGAGGGAGGGGACTCGCCAGAAGTTCAGCCTGAGCTAATGTACGAGCCGTTGCACTTTGTTCCTCTGAGTTCATGCTTTCATTTTGGGTTAGGGCAGGGGTCGGCAACCCAAAATGTTGAAAGAGCCATATTGGACCGAAAAAATCCACCAAAAAGAAATATGTCTGGAGCTGCAAAAAATTAAAAAGTTTTAAGTAAGCCTTACAATGAAGACAACACATGATGTATGGATCTAGATTAGCTATATTTGCCTACTGTCAAAATGACTAAGTTGGCTACAAATACACAATGAGCCTTCACGATTCAATATTTTTTCCCTGCAATGCATCCTGTAGAGCAGGGGTACCCAGCCTTTTTTGACTTTTTTACTTTTCGATCAACCAACCTCCCGAAATCGACCCGCTACCGCACATGTGCGCATACGCACGCACTTACACATGCATGCCTTAATGAGCAATAGCCATAACGGCCGCTAAAATGAACGAGGCACGGGACGCACTTTTGCAGCGTGTGAACTATCGTAGCTCACGTGTACTGTTGAGAAATGCTTCCCTCAGCCCTCCAGATTCCCATTCTTTGCCAGTGCCCTCGGTGAATTGTACATGAAATGCTTTTTTTTTTTTTTCACGACAGCCACCTGCCTGGCATCCCGTCCTGCTAATAGAAACGTGTGTCGCAGGCTATGACGCAAATCCTCGTTGACAGAAATGTTGACATTTAATATTTATTCTACACATTTTTAAAACATTGGAAAACGTTAATAATGTTTGTGTCCTGTTTGTCCTCCTACAGAAACTACATTAAAACAAAAAATATATTTCCCTCCCCCATCTTTTTCCATTTTCAAACATTTTTGAAAAAGCTCCAGGGAGCCGCTAGGGCGGCGCTAAAGAGCCGCATGCGGCTCTGGAGCCGCGGGTTGCCGACCCCCGGGTTAGGGTTACAAGTGATGAACGAGCAATTAGGAAGAGAATGAATTTACCTCGGCCTTTGTCTATTCATTTTAGCAAACAGGAGACGGAGAACGTGTTCCTTTTGCTCCCAAGTGAGATCTGAAAATTCCACTTTATCCCCCGGTTGATGGATCCTGAAAAAAGAAGTGAAGTTGCCTGATGAAGAATCATCACGCAGAAGCAATAGGATGATGACATACCACCGTGTGGCCTTCTCCATGTCAGAGCAGACCGAGTCGGCGCTATCTGGAGTGTTCTGGAAGGTGCGGATGGGCGGGAATTTGATCCTTCCTGCTGTGGCCTGTTTGAGTGTCCAGCGATATGCCTGCTGGGCCTCCTTTTTGTACTGAAGCCGAGCGGCCGCTATTTCGTCCTTCACCTGAGCCAGAGCTTCGTGGAAGAAGCGCTCCAGCTCAGAGCGCTGCTCCATGACGGCGCCAGCTAGCCTCTTGATGTGCTTTAGTTCCTTCTCCCGCATGGAGAGCACACTCTGAAGCTTCTCAAACTCTGCCTTGTCGGCCTGGCGGCTGAGCAGCATCTTCTCCTCAAAACGCTCTTGTTCATCTCTTTTATGTTCCAAAGTCTGCTCCAGAGAAGCTAACTTTTCTTTCAAATGGGTCAACTCTTCTTTTTGGGCCACCAACTCAGCTGTGTTTTTCTTTGCCAGTATGTTCAGTGTCTTCTGAAGGAGTGGACAAAAGAGAAAGTCCTTTTACTTTACTCGATACAGCTCGCAAAAAGCTCGGGTTATTGAGCTTTTGGGCTGAAATTTCAGGATGAAACTAAAATGCACTAGAACCTTTACAGGTGAATTTAATTCGATCTTCTCTGAACTTTGGAAAGTTTAAGTGTTCGCTTAATAAGGAACAGAATGGCAATATTTTACTTTCTGTACTTTCCTGTTTATTAGAATTGGTATTTAACCTTTTTTTCATGATGTGACATCCTGAGACCAAAACGACACCTGAAATTGGATCAACAGCACCTTGCCATTGAAAGGCTTTAAACACTAAGAGGGAACTGACCACTGAGCTAGAAGTTTGCAACAGAGAGACTGGAGAAGTAACAAAAAGGCAAAGAAGTGAATGTATTTGGAAATTTGGTCGATTTTTGGATCAAACCCGTAAATGTTGCCATTCAGCTCCTTGTTTCGAGAAGTGCAAAACGTACTGACACAATGAATGGCTGGACACGCAAGAGAAGGTCAAATTAAGTTCACCTGTGCATTTTCGGTTCATCCCAAAATGTCATCCAAAAGCTGAATATCACAAACATTTTGTGGATAGTGTCGGTGGGGAAACAAATCGGCAATTGTATCCCAAGCTTGGCTGCTGAGTCGGGGTTAATTTCCAACAACTTACTGTCATCATCTCGGAGACGTATGTGAATGCGGCCACTATTTATTTGTTTTAGGAGAAACCGCCGAACCTGTAGGCTAGTGGAAACTCACCACAACCACAGAACACGGAGAGAGGCTGCGCAGTAAATACACAGAAGCAGAACAAGCAAATAACAAGGAGAGAAGCCGCCTGAATTAGACGCTTCATAACTGCCGCGATTGGAAAAATTAGACATTTTTTTATATCGAAAGCATTGCCTAATAATAGCAGTCGCGCTGTTTGCCATCCTTTTGGCCCTAAGTGTTACCTTGTCCATCGCCAGGGACGTGTTTTCCTTCGCCAATGAGTCTGCCATTTTGTGCAGCTCCTCTGCCTCCTTCATGTGGTGTTTCAGTGTCTCGTTGAGACGGACGTTCTCCTTGAAGACGCAGCGCGAGGCGTCATCCAGCTGTCTGAAGGGCCGCCAGCGCAAATAAGTTAGCCGGATAATTACCGTATTGGCCCGAATATAAGACGGCCCTGATTATAAGACGACCCCCTCTTTTTCAAGATTCAAGTTTGAAAAAAGACTTTTTGGACACCAAATTAATTTTTATACAGAAAATAATTACAGTACATCTGAAACAAATGATTATAACAATATGCAGGTATTTGAGAGAAAAAGCATGTTATTTTGCCTCATTCAAATCTTAATATCTGAACATTTAAATATGTAAACTAAAGTGCAATCACATTCGTAAATGAATGGATTCTGGTTTTTGAAATGTAAATTACATCATAACTTCTCCTCAGCTGCCGGTTAACCTGGCCGATCTTTGACCCACTTTTCTCCAGATTGTCGCTACATTTCTCCATTTTCTGTTATCTCTTTGATTATTTTCTTCTCTTTTCTTTCTTACCGCTATTTTTTATTTTTCTTCTTTGTGCTACCGCTATTTTTATTTTTATTCTTCATGACAGGGGTTCACTTTGGCCTGAGGGAGTCAAGTTCGGCATTCTGTTCAATGATATCTGGCGCCATCTAGCGTCGTGAATGGGTATAACGTCTAGACCACGAATATAAGACGACCCACACTTTTTCAGTCTTATTTCAATGCAAAAAACATCGTCTTATATTCGGGCCAATACGAATAATAATAATAAAATTAATAATATTCATTCGGGGTGGGGGGGCTTTAAACGGGAGGGTACTAAGGTGTATTATTCATTTTTAAAAAAAAGCTTTCTAGTTTAAAGCAAGGGTGGGCAAAATGTGGCCCATGGTTGCATATGATTCTTTGGGATAGGTTGTTATACATGAAAGAAATCCAAAGCTTTCTATCCAACTCCAAGCTAGTTTTGCTCCACCACTTTCCAGTTTGGCACACACTTTCTTCATGTCAGTTGAAATTAGATTGTTCCTTGTTTTGTTTTTTTTTTAAATTACCCAGTTCATCATTTTTTTGGGGTCAATGTTGAAATGGTGAGCTCCACTTTCTCTTCAGCTACTATACTATTCCTGCTGAGATAATGAGCAGGACAAATCTCATTACAGTATGTTTTGAACAAATTAATAATTTTTTTTTAACTTCTCATTGAGTAAAACAGACCAAGTCCGTTTTTGCAGATGTTCAGTGTTAGCTCATTGACCAAACTGACCATACTCGGGCCTCTCATTCTCCTCCAAGAAGGCCTTTCTGGGATATGTGGGATGTGATTGTTGGCTTCGTGCATTATCGAGCACATGACTGACCAGTGCGGCTCAAAAACAACATGGAGTTCAAAATTATATATTTATAAGACCAAGTAGTTGTTCTTTGGTTCCGAACATGCAGTAAAAGATTAAAATTAGGCCATCAGTGGGCACACTCACAAAACAGCTTCATGGTGGGCTTGCTCCTCCACCTGTGCTATCATTTCCTCGGCATCCTTCTCCAGTCGAGCCTGCAAGGAAGTTTACTCTGAATCACTTCCAAGTCGTATTTTAATCAGTTTGGGATGAACCGGTAAGCAAGTTTTTACGTCACTATTATCTCGATCGAAATGATCCCAGTTCATACACTAACCGTCTGAAATATAATCACAAATTGACTGGGAAACCGTCTCATCCGACTTGCCGTGATACCTTTTCTTTGAAGAACCTGTACTCCATCATGTTGCGGTTTTCCCTGTGCTCCTTCTCGGCGAGCTGCATGCTTTTTTTCATCTGTAACGTATATGTCATATTTACATGTCAAAAGCCACGAGAAATGAGAATTTTAATAAATAAATAAAGGTTTGCTACACACATCGCTGAGCTCCTGCTCCATCTGAGCTTTTCTTGTCTGGAACTCCTCGATCGTCCTCATTCCATCCCGTATCGTCTCAAACTCACCCGCTCGCTTTCTGAACAGCACCTTCATCTCACTGATTTCAAGTGTGTAATGTTCAACCTGTTGAAAGTATGAGACAGATTTGGATGTGAAAATGTGTCGCAAACAAGGGTGACCAAATACGGTCCTCGAGTTACCCCTATCAAGCCAGTTTTCGATCTTTTCCCTCCGCCACCACACCTGCTTCAAATGACCCCCTCCCCCCCCCAGCCTCAATTATAACCAACCAGCTGCCCATCTGCAAAATAAATCTTCCCATGAGTGGCAAAAGTTTTGGAACGAGGTCTGGGTACCAGATCCAACCGTGATCGAAGCATGCAAATGGTTAAGGTTATATCAGTTGAACCAAATACCTCAAGATACCACCAGAGAAACCAGGACTGCATAAAAATGTGACAACGTGACCAAAATCACAAGAGACTGGCAAAAGATGCACCCACAAACATGTACATGATGACTAAATGAGAGGTTATCACCCATTTGATTACATCTTTGGGCCGAGTGAATCTTCTTTAGATAGCGATGTAGCTTTTACCCGCATTAGGGCATCAATCTACACATAAAATGCAGACTGCTATCTTAAAAATAAGGTCAGATCGACATGAGAGTATTCCACAAACTATGCGTCCTCGCCATTTGCAAAAGTCGTTATCGTGTAATTTGGTTGAATTGATCCAAATTCCAGATTCATGCTGTCTAAGCCCTTAGACAGACGCCTCTTTTGATGGGGAATCATATTATTGCCCGGAAATACATCTAAAGCAGCGTCTTCTGAGTCAACCACATGGCATTTATTTTTCTGACATACGTGTCAGTCGCATACATGTCCAAAAGGGAGATGTTTCCAGACTGTGTCTCATTTTCCGCCGCCATTTTACTAGCATGAAGTCAGGACTGCAAGATGGAAAACAGATGCGGACCAATGTTGCTGTGCTGTCTTGTAAAGCTGCTCGATGTCTGATTCTTCATTCTTTTAGTTATCGGAAAGGACTCGTGAAAATGAGTGCAAAACGTACTGAAGGGTTAATGTTTAGTATGAGTTACGGCTATTGGGTAGCAACCAACCATTGTGGAGACTATTACGAAAAAAATTTGCAATTTAAGAACACAAAACCATGCCATATACGTGATCCGGAGTGGCTCAGAATCAATATTTGAAATGACAAAAACATAAAACGTAAATAAAATACACTATAATTACCTGAGATGATGATCATCTAATGTATTAATGTCTAATCCTAATCGAAATTGGTTGTAACAAGCTTTGCTCTGGCCAGCAAATCAGAGAATGGAAAAATGCTGACATCATTGAGGGCCAGGTTGCCGATCTTGTGACTTCGAATTTGAAATGTGATCGGTTAAAGAAACCGTTTTGCTGCTATATACTGTACTGTAAAGTACATCCATGAGCACTGCTCATTCTGAAGGCTGTGGGTAGATTAGATTGCCATGGCAACCCATAGAGGCTGAAATCTAAGTGAAAAAAAAATCGAATATATACATACAATAACTGGAAGCAGGGCTGCCAAGAGAAATGCTACAAAATAAAAAGAATAGTCTGTTAGGGATAAATTAACATGGAACAAAGGCTGTAATTCAGGTGGTAAATTCACACCAGTACTTCTGATAGTGTTAAGGCTAGCAGAGGAGAGCTTGCTAGCCCTCACAATGACAAAGTGACATTTGCGGTGTGGGGAAGACATTTGTTACTGTCATTTCCCTATGAGCCCCTTTGAAATTACGCTTCAACGCAAAGTTTTAAATAAACACAAATCCCCGGGTGGGAATATGAGTTTGCTTTAGCTTTATGCCTGCTTTGTTTTGTTCAGTCTTGCACAACACAATAAAACATTATTGTACAATAGGTTTTGGTTGGAGCTGGCTGAGCTTGAGTTCAGACTGGTAAGAAAGCAGCAGTTTACTGTTTCATTGTGGTTGTTGTTATTATGCACTCACCATTCATGCTAACTTTGTATTTTTGTTGCTAAATTTTGCAAATATTCAGTTTGTCCGAGCAACTTTTTTTTCTCCAAAAAGCAACGAGCAAATAAATAAATAAATAAATACATTTTAAAAAAGAGTTTGAGTGGAAACTTTTGGAAAAGTGACCCTATTGCTACAAAAGTCATTTCTGTTTGTTTTGTTTTCAGCCCCAGCTGGAGTGGAGGGCGTTTCCCCCCAGCAGGCACACCTGTTCAGCACTTACAAATCAAGCCTATTGTATTCGCACTTTGTCTGAGTCTGCATTTCTGGAATCCAAAAACATTGTCCGGTTCGTACTCGAACCTGACAAAATTTTCCCTCTAAATGACTTATACAAAATGTTGTCAGCAAATTCTCTGTTCTATTGTTAGATCATTCTGCTCAAATCAAATAATAAAATCCTTATTCCATTAGTCGTTTTTCTTTTCGTTTCTCAGTCACAGTCAAAAAAAAGAGGGACAGAATACCTGCCAAATTATTGTGGATCCTCAAACAAACTAATCCAAATTGACAAATTTCAAAACATTTTTTCTGTCGGTCATGTTTTACGTAATTATGCATCATCAGACAATGTCGACGTTATTTAGCATTTTTTGGCAACAAATTCAACAGCTTCTAAGCACCCGCAGGACTCACCAGTTTGTTCTGCTGCTCAAGAGATAGCGCCTCTTGACTTTTGAGTGTGTCATGAAGTACATTAATCTGAGAAATAGAAAACGCGTTGTGAAAATGTTATAAACTTTGACCTAGCTTACCTTGACTACTTACCTCCTCGTCTTTTGCGGCCTCCCGTTTTAGCCAATTGTCGGTGGCTTCAAGGATTTCCTGCTCCGCGCGTGCCAGCTTGCTGACGAGTTCACTGTTGACACGCGCCAGCTGACCGCAGCTCTCGCGATACTCCGCGAGAGTCTGCTCGGTTAGCCGGAGTCTTACCTCCCGGCGGGCAACATTAGTTTTGGCATTATCCAGGTCCAAGTCTTTGTCTGTTTTAGGCTCCCGTTTTCCGCTCTTCTTACCTTTTCTGAGTTGAAGCAGTAAGCGCAAGTAAAGCTTTGTAATGAAATTGTGGCTAAAATAAGAACAAATATGCGCACTCACCCGTTTTTTGTCGTTTTCATTTTGACTACTTTCTTCCTGTGCATTTTTTTTCTTTCTGAAAATGCCAACCGGTCGATAATACTAGTGCAGGTACGCTAATGGTGGTGCCAGCATATTCTGTGCAACCTGCTCTGACCAGTTGTGTACTGGTGTCGCCATGGAGACGCTGTCCCTCGAAGAAGGCTCACATTTCTCTGCAACACTATCCTGAAGAAGTGGTGGTCGCTTGTCACAATATGCCCTGAAGTCAGAGTAAAACAATTAAAATGACCGATTTCAATCCTGTACAGTACTCATGTAAAAGTCCAGATTATGACATGGAGAAAAGTGCTGTTTTGGTCGCTTGGCACAAAACAAAAACAAAGGCATTTGTTTATTACACAAGAGCTATCTAGTTGGCTCAGACTTTGATGCTAAAACATGTTCCAATAAATTTGCTTATTTTGTGCCCGCGAGTGAGTTTGAATTCGGAAGGGGATCAAGGTTCTTTATCCACCACTCTAACAAATTTTGACACGTTTTATAAATGTTTTTTCTTCTGTCCACATCCGAGAGGTTGGTTTTTGCCTCGATGATGTTGCGCACAGTAGACACAGGAACCTTCAGATGTGTCAAAATTGACTTGTAGCCTTGAGATGGTCCATTTATTTTACTTACTTTTGTTTTTCACATCCTCTCAAAATTCTTTGCTGTTCTTTCTTTTCTTCAGACTCAGTGTGGTCCACACAAATACGCGGCACAAAGGTCGAGTCACCTTTTCCCCATTTGAACCGTTGCAAAAAGTGTGCACAAATTAAAGGAGCATGGCATGCTGGCAAAACAATTTTTTTTCTTACAATGTTGATCGGGTGCCAATAACTTGGTCCAATACTGTACATTTTTGGAGTTCTGTATGGACTGATCAGATTTGGCTTTTTTTCCTCTGCCGTTTTGTTTTGTGTTAGTCCACTGCAAAGAAAAGAAATAAACGTGAGGACTGAAACACTTGTAATTGCAAACCCAAGTCAAGTACAGACAGCTGAAAAATATGCTTATTTACAGTAGCTTTGTAGTTTCTTACTTGCCAAAACTGGCATTCTGGGAAAGCTATGTGAGGCATCCACATTTCATACAGAAACCCGTGTGTATTTGCTAGAGGAGCAATTTCTTGTGATGCATCTGGGAATCCAGTGAGGTTAGATGATTTCCTCAAGCCACATTGTCAACACAGCTTATTTCTTTAGCAGACCAAATCCATTGAAAAGTGCAGACAATGTGTGTGGATGTGGAATGTGCACAAGTGGATATGCACAAAGACAACATTGTATCATCAAAAGGTTTTTTTTTTTTTTTTTAACCAAACCAAAATGACTCATTGTTTTTTGTGACACATACGGTATCTAAAATTAACTGTAAATGCTAAATATCACAGCAGAGAGAACATTCTGAACCGCCGTTGAAACTATTAGGTTGGACAAATTAGTTCTTGGTAAAATTGAAAACTTTTTTTTTTTTTTGTGTGTTGGAAGCAAATTTGGGGCAGCTCGATGTGCTCTTGGTTCGCATATCTGCATCACAGTTCTTAAGTTTTGAAGTTTCCGCTTGGCTTCGGCCTTCTTGTGTAGAGTTTGCATGTTCTCCCCAGGCAGGCATGGATTTCTCTCGGTACTCCGGCTTCCCCCCCCCACATTCTAAAAACATGCATGATAGATTCGTTGAAGACTAAATTATCCAAAGGTGAGAACGGTTCTTTGTCCATATGTGGCTGGCAATTGAGCGTGTACCTCGCCTCTCACCTCTCAAGTCAAGTGCTGTAAAAATGAATAGATTTCCATCTGTTCATTTTCTCAAAATGTAATTATTTCCGAACATTGAGTTGTCACCATTATGAAACCAAGGCCATTAAGTCCACTACAGCACTGATTTCCAAGCAGGGTGGTGTGGCACACTAATGCGATGTGAGAGGTCCTCAGACTAAATTTGCCAGAAATGTTTCGAATCACTCCAAATATATCTTTATGTTTCTTTACAGTGACATGTCGTGACAGGTAGACCAGACTAAATGCTCTTTCCTTCACGTTTTGCGAGGTGGTAGTTGGAGGACCCCAAAAAGCACAGAGGCAGGGAGGAGCAGGGTGGAGTGACCAAGATGTATTTAACAAAATTGCAAACAGGAATACACCGGAGAAACTAACTCAAAAAAACTCACTCAATTAAAGTCCAGAAAAACCAAAAGAAATCAAAGTAGCAAAAACCTAAGACAGAAAACAAAACATGACACGTGCACAGAGACACACAATGATCCGACACGGACTTCGGGCAGGGAGTCCTTTTAACCACACACTAATGAAACAATGACCAACAGGTGTGCCACTGCAGGATGAGCCCTACAGTGCCACCTGTTGGTCACAAACAGAACCACCCTAACACTTTCATTAGGTGGCGGAAGGTAACAATAAACCTGCGTGCCCACCTGTCGCCATTTTTTACAACAGAATGAAGTCATGACATCCTGCAAATATGTCAGCCTTGCGTTGAATTAAACGGGCACAGTTGACTGGGATGACATCTTCATTGGTTCAGAAGTCATACTTTTTACGACATTTTTGTTGGTTGGTGTGCCGGTTTTTCTAATGCTCAGTAAAGCTTGGGAAACACTGTACGACGGGACCTCGCGGTTGTGTTGATAGTTTCGAATCCTAAACCGCTACATTCTCCATGTCATCTGATCCAGGGAGTGTTAAATGTCGGCCGTCGGCTGTTCATCAAACCATAAAGCGCACAAGATATTGCAAAAGTTTTGGGCGTAGCTACAGTTAAGTGGATCATATAGGGTTGTTCGGTGCTCGAGCATGGCGAACGGAGTTTGAAGACTAAATTTAAAGGTAATTACTATGACAGTGAGGAGAGAAAACTGAAATAACCCCAAACATTTCAAATCTGTCATTATCATTGGAATTGTAATGACAAGGTTTGGGCCTCTTCAGTGGACCTTTAGGGGTAGGACACCCACAAACATGGCATTCCTGAGGCCAACCTTGCAGCATATTAATGATATATTGCACTGTGTAGATTACAAAGCTGAGGTCCCTTCTTGCGCTTTACGGTTTCACTTAACTTGAAGCAAAATACCAACCCTGGTATTGAAACGACTTTTGCTCTAAAACACTGTTGGTAATGTGCTGCGTCATGCCATGGTGGCGCACTTTTATAGGGCATCCGAACATGATTTACAGTCCCGAGTGGCACATTTCTAAAATAACTGGTGTAAATCTGCCCTCGGATGACATTTGACTTGGAGGGCGGCTCTATTACACGACTTTATAATTGAAACACCAGCGTTGGTGTGTGCCATTGAAAGCCGCCGATGATTCACGGCCTTGGTTGCCCGTAAGTGGGTCACTGCTATCTAAACAATGTGATAGTTTTCATTGCATGAGCGCATCCCTAGCGGCGTGTCGGAACCGCTGTGAAACATTCAGACGTATTTCAACAAAGCAAGTCATGTCTTGGACAACGTCGGTTTGTCGGCCTTATTGCAGGGTCATGCATTTGCTGTACAGTGGATAAAAATATGCCTCTAAAGCTTGTTCTCTGTTCGATTTGATGGCGATTTGTCCTTGTGAGTTCCTCATCCACAAGATAACTTGAAAATACTGAATCTCTCAAGCAGAACTCCCAAAGAAGGTTCACAGAAGGAGCCTGTCATTTAGAACCCCCAGCACCGAAAACATGACCGTGTGGAGAAACAAATAAGACTTGGCAAGGTCTGACACCGACTGTGTTCGGTGATGCAGAGCAGATCATTCAGCTCGCAGACAGAAAGAGCTGAGTACCAAAAAGATATTCTCATCCTTGTAATTTCTGAGCGTGATCGTGTTACATGTTAGCCACAATCACAGCGCAGATGTTGCATTTCAATGATATGTATGGAGACATTGTCAGACGATGTTGTGGTTGGCCAAAATATTTTTAGTCGATCGGGGTTTTGGAGGTGACTTCCAGTTTGTGTTCATGGAACATGTTGCAACCTATGCGCCTTTTAATGTTTTGGACCTTTAAGGCGGAACATTCAGACCACAATTATTATGTTTAAATGATGACTAGTCACATTTAATTAAATGTTGCCTTTTTTTTTTTCTTTGCAGGACATTTTCACTGTTCATGCGGTCGTGAGCAAGACGCCAATCTCGCACCCGGATCTCAAATGGCACAGCACTATTTCATCGATATGGAGCAGGTGTGAGCTGATTTCCTCATGAGGGATTATAATGACGACAATAAATTAATGACGCACACAGCTGTACTTCTCCAACACGTGTGACAGCATTGCATATTGCAGTGACTACGAGAGCCACGATCACATTCAAATAAGGGTACATGGGCACACATCATTGAGAGGTCCTGCACATGTACGCTTTGATAGCGGCGAACGACCACTGCGGTTGAACCACAGGCTTGAAAAAAGTAGCCACAGTATTTAGAGAAAAGGAAGGAGGAAGAGAGTCCAATATTTTTAGTTCAAATTACAGTGTTGGAACAGTGCTTTGCACAGTTGAGTGTCCTGGGAGGGGAATGGCATGATGGGGGAATGCTGATGCCAAGCCCCACCCCTCCCCACATATCGTCCTCTCCGTGGACTTCCTGCATTCTCGGCACCCTCGTGAGTGAGCTCTGCCCTCCCATTACCCTTGACTGCACACTTTCTCCCTCAGTCACCCACCACATGAGGTGAAAGAGTAAACCACATGTTAGGGCCGCCGAGGTTGGGATAGGGTCACTATGCAAGGGATGCTTCCATTGAAGTGATATTCAGTCTCAGTTGCGTGGAAAAAAAAATTGATTGAGGTACGTGGCTTTCGCATCTGCGTGAGACTGCGGCGGGATGCGTTTGATCCGTATGCTTCCCAAACATGGCAAAAAGAAGAAAAAGTACCGCCAATACACTCGCAGCTCGGTTTGTGATGGGACGCCAAACACCCGGCTAACTCCACTCGGACTGCTTCATTCTCCCGTGAAACGTGCCTTGCTGGCCAAAAATTTTGCCCTAGAGAGGGGAAAAAAAAAAGCCCGTGGTCGATCCTGATGAGTGGGAGTGAGATTATCACATTCTTTGAACTTTTTTTGCCAACTGGAGTGCAGATCTCATTTGCATGTTTAAGGTTGGTAAAACTGTTGCACTTTTAACGTGGTGATTACTGCACGACTACGAAAAAGAGGTTAAATGGGGTTTTGGAGAATGTGTTTGATACAAAGCCACTGAACAAAACCACAAACTACTATGAAATATATTGAGTCACATCTTATCCATCTATCGATGTATCTGTACAGCTGTCAGGTTTTGGCGTTATTTGGACCCAAATGCAAGCAAGCAGGTGGGCGAGACTGGCAAGCAAATGAAATCCAAAAAGGATTTATTCAAAAGAACGAAAGGGCAAATAAAGATTCAAAGTACCAAAAACAACAAACACAAGGAAAAAAAAAACTTGAACAGGAACAACAAATCGACAAAGACAGAAGGAGACATCCAGGAAAGTAAATACAAGCCAACTGACAAGACAACGAAGAACATTTAGACAAGACACGATCGGCTGACAGAGCTGATGGGAAGACACAAGGCACTTCGTTGACGAGCACGTGGAAACAAAAGACATAAGAAACAGGACAAGAACCACAAGAAAAAAAGACGGAACACAAAACCAAAACCACATACAAATGGAAAAACACGGTTCATGACAGAAACTGTGTGTGTGTGTGTGTGTGTGTGTGTGTGTGTGTGTGTGTGTGTGTGTGTGTGTGTGTGTGTGTGTGTGTGTGTGTGTCCAACAATCATTCAAATCTTGTTCTAAACAAGCAGAAGTAAGGCACATTCTCTTCATCAAAATGTCATACAGTTATATATTTCACCCACATATGCAAAGGAAAAAAAGTTGTCACCTCTTAAAGCAATGACCAGAACATCCATAAATGAGAAATTTTTGGTTTGTTTGTGTTTTGTTCTTGCTGCTGTTGCCTTCATGACTGGCGCACTTCAGCTCCAAACTAAACCCAAAGAATCATTCAAGCAAACGTATGCACGTGTCCAGATACATTTGGAATGACAGAATTTGAAACATAGTCTATAGTATATAAAAACTGCACATACTAATTCCTTTTCTTTGCAGTGTTTCGCCCAGGTCCATTCTGACTTCGTTAGAACGCCCCCATGCCTTTTCTTTCCTAGAAAGGGGTCCTCCACATCCAGTAAAGTTGAGGAGGGAAAACATAGCCAGAAATAAGCACCCTCCTTCTCCTTTCAAGAGCGCACGAGAGAGGGAGAGAGAGAGAGAGAGAGAGAGAGAGAGAGAGAGAGAGAGAGAGAGAGAGAGAGAGAGAGAGAGAGAGAAGAAGGGTGAAAAAAAAAGCCAGAGAGGCAGGTAGTCTCCAGCTCTGCTTCCAACAAGAAAGGGGACTGGATGGAGTGGGGATGGACCGCCACAGGATTGGAGGATTGTTGCTCTCGGTGTGGCCCATCGCCAAGCCCATATGTCTTTATATAGTGTAAACACACGAGGGGACGGTCCTGTGTGCTCATCCACTCTGCTGAGCACTCAACTTCGTCCAGCATCTTCCACTTGACCTCACCTCTGCTCTCCTCACGCCATGGCCGCGTCGAGCCATCTCCTCTCGCTCTTGCTGGTCCTCCTCGTGGGGAGCCTCGTGACCGAGGCGACTTACTACCGGCCCCACCGCTACTTCCCGCACTTTATCCGCTTCCGCCAGCCTCCCGCCCACATGGAAAACCACCTCCCGGAGGTCGCGAACCCGGCGCCCGGTCCCCGGCACCCCGGCGTGCCGAGGTATCCCGTCATCCCCCACATCATCGACGCGACACCCGAAGACATCCAGACCATACCGGAGGCTATCCACCCGGAGCCCGAAGTCGTCCACCCGGCGCCCGAAGTCGTCCGATCGGCGCCCGAGTCTCACTACCGATCGGCGCCTCGAGTCAACTTGACCCGGGTCTTCTACGGTGTCATGTTCGACGCGGGCAGCACCGGCACCAGGATCCACATCTATAAATTCATTCAGAAAGACCCAGGTAATCCCCGCGCCGTGCCCCAGATTTACGCGCGCGCGTTAGCTCATCCATCCCCGGCAAGTGTGCTTCTAAAAGTAGCTGAGGTTTGACTCCGTAATGAGTTGTGGAGCGGATGGATGTGACGTGATGCTTGTCTGAAAATATCCCCAGCTGTCAAAGCGATTCGAGTGTTTCTTGTTCTCTTTTCTTTTAGTCTCTGTACAGCCACCCACCAGTTCTCTGTTATATTGTTTCACGGATTATTTTCTTGTATTTATTTTTGTTTGTAATTCTTCTTCTCCTTGTAGTTGAGCTGCCAGTTCTGGACAACGAAATGTACCATGCAGTGAAACCTGGACTTTCTGCTTATAAAGACAACCCTGAGGAAGTATGCAGAATTTTTGTTTGCATTATTACTTAGGATATCAATCATAATCTAATCGTGAGCCGTATCTAAAATTCAGAAAGATGGTGCTCAGGTTTGAATGAGCATGACGGTCAATATCGGGGTTGTTGTTTGAAGTGGTGTATGACTACATTTACATTTTCAAAAAAAAATAAGTGTAACTATCTCATACTGCCGGTCTGTAAAGGACGAGAGATAATTCTAATAGCACGCCTTCACCATTATCTTTGAGAAATTTCCCATCACGAAGTGCAATCTGAAATATATACAGGTACAATATGTGCATAATCGCCACATTCACACAAAAAAATACCTATTAATATACCACAAATAACTCCCCACATTCACTATTGCTCTACCTACCGCACGTATGTAAATACAGTACTGTACATCTTGGCCCTCTTGCCCCCATACTCTGTGTCCAGCCTATTTGATACATTAAATTCAAAGTACAGTGCTGTCATGTAAAGCGCTGCAAGCTGCAGCAACAATTAATTGTTCAATTAATTCGATTAAAAAAAAAAACAAGCAATATTATCCCGTAAAGCCACACAGCTGTTTTTGCTGCTCTTTCACTGGATCGCATTAGATTGTATAAGTGTATATTATCAGTGTGCACGTTGCACATCCCTTGGTATGTTCTCTGGGTTGGGTTCACACGCAAACACCAATTACACGAATGAGACTTGCTGATGCAGCCGCATTCACCAACCCGGCTGTAATGACACCAAATTTTGCATTTGACCTTGTTCTAATATGGACACATGCTGTTGCTTCTGTAACTATAATTGCCATGTCTTCCCCAGGGCGGCAACACAGTGCGTCAGTTGCTGAAGATAGCCAAGAAAACCGTGCCAGAGGAGGAGTGGAGGAGGACCCCGGTGGTCCTGAAGGCCACGGCGGGCCTGCGCCTGCTGCCCGAGGACAAAGCCTGCGCTCTTTTGAACGAGGTGAGGCACGCTCTCCCGCTGCCCTCAGACACTCTGGCACAAACGCAAGCCGCGCCGCCAAGGAGCGGGATGAGAAACCACTAAGTGCTTACAAGTGTCAGTGGGGTAAAAAAAAAAAAAAAAAAAAAGGAACAACTCTGCCCATTCAGCGGCTATGATGTTGCAAAACCCCCCCCCAAAAAACAGCTGTTGTGGTGTTGTCATTTGAAGTATTCAATCTGCTACTGTTGCGGCTATGCTCGCAATTTACGGTACTTATTTTACTTTTGACACTGTCTAGCCTGATTTTTTTTTTTTCCATTTTGAAGTCTTGCAGAAATCACATCTGTGAACAGCTATAAAAGGTCAATCTATTATTGCAGGTGCGACATGTTTTTCACGAGTCTCCCTTCTATGTGCCAAGCAACAGTGTCACCATTATGAATGGAACAAATGAAGGTATGTTCTTGTATATATATTTTTTTTTTGCAAGAGGCATTTTAGCATTCTCATTGTGCATCGAAATGCGTCACTGCAGCAGTGTTGTAATCACAACTAATGTGGGTATTTGCACCCTCGTGTTGTTCCAGGAGTCCTGGCCTGGGTCACGGTGAACTTCCTTACAGGTAAGACATTGCTCGTGTTTTGCTATGTTGGTGTTAGTGGTCACAGAGCTCATATCGGAGTCTCGAATGTAGACTCAAGCCGGGGAGTGAAAAACGCTTGTCTCCTGTCTGAGGTCGCCCGCCTTTCCAAACAGCCGCGCAAAAAACGTGATGAATAGTCACGTTTTTTTGGACATACAGCGAATTGATTTTCAAAAAAAACTGTAATATATGCACCTTTGAAATGATTTTCTTCTGAGTGAGTCATGATTTTGTGCATCTTTCCTGACATAAGAAGTTGAATAGATGAATGGAGTTCCTGATAAACAGGAAGCACACCAAAACTTCATGCTATTTTCATCCCAATTTGTTGACGCATTTGGATGGTGTCTTACTGTCTGCATTCAATGTGATGTATGTCTATTTTGTTTTGTTTTTTTAACCGTAGGCCACTTGTATTCCAACACAAAGAGGACAGTGGGCATCCTGGACTTGGGAGGAGGCTCTACACAAATCACCTTTCTTCCCAAGTCAAAGGTAAAAAAAAAAATGATGGCACGTCTGATAATTCTACCGAAAGCTATCAATGAAACTGCAACGCTAAATGTTTGTTTCTGTCCACCAGAAAACTGTTGAATCTGCTCCCCATAGTTACATTGCCAAATTCAACTTGTTCAATAGTACATATCAGCTCTACACACACAGGTAAGCGGTCAAGTTTACTGTATTGCCACTTTAATGGGATATAAAAGTGATTGGTACAAGCTTCTAAAATCTTCCCATGATATCTTCACCTCATAGCTACCTTGGAAATGGACTGTATGCGGCTCGGTTGGCAACTCTCGGAGCACTGGGAGCTGATGGTATTGGATCTTAAAACCCATGATATAAAACTAGGAGGACCTTTTAATTGACAGAAGGGCTACTTGGCTTTTTTTTTCACATCTTAGGTCTCGAATGGAAAGTCTTCACCAGTTCCTGCCTCCCAAAGAAGTTCCGAGAAGAAGTGACTTTTGGTGGAACCACTTACAAAGTCAGCGGAGTTCCAGATGGTAAGCCCAGTAAAATCCATTTTTTTTGCACAACACACATGTTGCCTCTTCTACCTGAAATTGAAATGAAAAGAAAAGAGGCGGTTGCCTACACAAATAAGGCAGTTCGTCCCATACCACATTTGAAAAGCCAAAAGATGCTGGGCTTGTCCCTGAGTTTTTTTCCCCCACTTTTTTTTTTTTTTTTTTTGTGCGTGCGAATGTAATGAGTGGCTCAATCTGGACCACTCACAATTATGCGGTAAAAATAGACAGACGGTCAAGGCAGCACTAACTGTCGCTCTTGTCAGCATATGGTCAGAGCGACACAAATGAGGCAGGCGTATTCATGATGCTGGTTGACACTTTGGGGCTTCCCTTCGTATACAATGTGATGGAACCCCGACTTTTCATCTCGGGTGGAATCAAAACTGAAGATACCGTACCGCCGTCGCACGCGGTTGATTTACATGAATTGTCTCCAGGCTACGCGGGCTACAAGCTGTGCTACTACGAGGTGATGAAGGTCATCAAGGGAATCGTGCATCAGCCTTATGAGGTGAAAGGCAGCAGTGTGTTCTACGCTTTCTCCTACTACTTTGACAGAGCTGTGGAGTCGGGCCTCATTGGTGAGTTGGCGCTCACCGAGCGAGAGTCACCTTCCACTGTCGGTAGTCGTTCTTGTCAAAACGCGCATTTGACTTTGCCTCGCAGATGACAGCCGAGGCGGCGCAATCGAAGTCAGGGATTTCAAGAAGCGAGCCAAAGAGGGTGAGTAGATTTGAAAAGCGTCAACATGACCCGAAATAAATCTACATCTTATACCGCGCACACAAAGACGTGGCACAGTGCTTCCTGTCAGACTGAATTTATTGCTGTAAAATCCAACCGATTCTTTGCTAAAATAAGACAGAAATGTGCTTCATTATAGGGTAAACAATTTAAAACTTTCCTTCACAATGTGAAGTATGCGCAACCAGCGCAGAGCATTCCCACTGAGAGGGGCTGTAGATGTTAAGTTTGGTCAAAGGGAGTTTGTATTGCGAGAGCCCCGCTCACATGGTCACAGAGTGTGGCTCACGCTGGGCCGACGACGACTGTGCGGCCACGGCGGGAGGGCACCTGACAGCCACACACCAACGTCGCCCACTCTCAGCCTTCAGCCGACCCCCGATTTCGTACACTCGCACCCTTCTGTTTAGTACGACACCAAACAAAACACAAGGTCGCCTTTTAAATCATGTAGCAGTTGCAACCAGGAGTCTGGCTCTGATGAAGATTTCCAAATAAATGGGACTTTATCCAAATCGGTCTCCAGAAACTAGGACTCGGAAAAATTGCCGACTTGTATTAAATCGGACTTCTTGCAAAAATATCACTTTGCAAATTCAATTGACACAGCGCACTACCGACCACGTGTCCAAAAGGACCAATTCATTCCCAACTGTCCATCATTGAATACAATCAAGCATATTTGTAAGCCTTTGACATGCTACGAGCATCCACCCGAGTGTTTTGGGCTGCTGTAATTTCCGGTAACCTTCAACGCATTTGCAACCTTGAGACTGACCAAAAGTTGCTTCGTGCGTTTGCAGTGTGCAACAAAATGACCCAATACCGTGCCATCAGCCCCTTCCTGTGCATGGACATGACGTACATCACCTGCTTGCTCAAGGAGGGCTTCGGCTTCAAGGACAACACCGTGCTGCAGGTACGTCACACTGCTGCGGACCCACTGCCGGAAAAATATGACCACGATATTAACTTGATCAATTTCAACTCTTTTACCAGCTGGCCAAGAAGGTGAACAACGTGGAGACCAGTTGGGCCTTGGGCGCCACCTTCGACTACTTCAGGAACCTCAACATCCACTAAGGGCAGCTCAAGGGCAACGCAGTCAGCACTGAGAGGGACATTTTTGTCACTGCGGGGCTTCCCTCCCTCACAGACACACCCAGTTTCATCCTGCCCACCCTCCTCATCAGCCGGCAAACACTACCAGAGCGGTTTAAGACAAAAAACAACAACAAAAAAAAAAATCACTATATTTTTATAAGGCCAGCTATTTCTACTGTACGTTGAGCCCATGACTGCTGGGCTGACTTTATTTTTGTCAAGCATCTTTTTGGGTTACTAACGGGTGTTTGGAAACGTGTCCTCACCTTGCTGTCCAGTGTGCGGGGCCTAGTTTGTAGTCACGGTGGTTTGACCGCCGCCCGGTTGTGGGCCGTGCCGTACAAAACGGCGTCATGGAAGTCTCGCTAAAGTCACTTATGTCTTAACGCTTTCTCTATTGTAGGCGCAAACAATTTCATGGAGAAATTTCTTTGAACGAGGTCGATGGGGCGGTTAACGAGCACCCGGCTTCTGCCATTCAGTTTTGCACGCAACACTTTAATTGTAGACAACGTAGCCAATCATCATGACTCGGGAGGTCAAAGTTCACTCTCCCACAGAACGAGCGTGTGTGTGTGTGTGTGTGTGTGTGTGTGTGTGTGTGTGTGTGTGTGTGTGGCCAGCTGCCACACGCGCGAAATGAATGCTTGTCCTTTAACGTTCCCTGGACTGAACAGTCAGCGTCGATGGTGGCGAAATTGCAAAGCAGCCGTAGAACAACCTCTCATCAGGTGTAGTTAACAACATTAAGCTGAACTAAACGCAAATGATCAACCGCAGGATAAAGATGTGGCTTTTAAAAGCTGCGGGGATGTCGCTGATTCTTCAAAAGCATTCATCGATATTTCCTGATGCTTTTCTTGTGAACTGTACAAATATTTAAATACCAGAAAATCTCTCTAATGTATTTAACAATGTTTATTTTGGGCTTTTACCCCGGAATGCGCTTTCAACACTTTTACCCGACTGTCTTCTCACAGTATACAAAACGCTCTGTTGTATATATGCCAGTTACACTTCCCAAGAAGCGCTTTCAAATGCAAGATACCCCCAAAACATTTTATGGCACAGTTGCTCAAGATGCTCATTAGTTGATTCACCTCATGCTTTTCGTATGTAAATTGTTTAATTTTTTATTTCGTGAAATGCTCGTTGTACTAAAACCTCCAAGTGTGTGAATATGTTCCCTCCTTGTAGTAAATAAATAAAAAACATTTCATTGATGCACGCCAAAAAAAATCATTCGAGTGGGTGTGGGGGTTATGTCTGCATCGTCCTTGTGCAGTTCAGGTCGAGAAAATACTTGACCGGTAGAATTTATATGATTTTACTTTTACATGCAGCAAAGGGCAAAACTATTCATCCATCCATCCATTTTCTGATCCGCTTATCCTCACAAGGGTCACAGGGTGTGCTGGAGCCTATCCCAGCTGTCTTCAGGCAGTAGCCGGGGGACACCCTAAACTGGTTGCCAGCCAATCGCAGGGCACACACAGACAAACAACAATTCGGGCTCACAATCACACCAAGAGACAATTTGGAGTGTTCAATCAGCCTGCCATGCATGTTTTTGGAATGTGGGAGGAAAACGGAGTACCGGATTGATTCTTTGATTTCAAGCAAATATTGCTGCAGTCCTTAATTCACACAAATACAAAAATCTCTTTTTTTTTCGGCTGCTCCCCCTCCTCATGCAATGAGCTATAACTTCTTCTGACTGACATTTCATTCAGGAAGATGCAGCAAAAAACAACAAAAACAAAAAACAACTTGAGGAAAATGAAGACAAGTCACCCCAGTGGAACAGAGGAAAGAAGGAGGGGGAAAAAAGTGCATACTTACAGCAGTAGCAGTAGCACTAGCACTGTTGTCTGTCAGTCGTGATTATGCAGTCGAAATGAAGTGAAGAGTGAGGCTTTTCATCACAAAGACACAAGTAGTAAAAGCGGTCAAAACGGAATTCTATGTGAAACGTTAACGTCCGTATCGATGAGATGATTCACTTTTACACAAGAACGATTTTGAAGGACACATGATTCTGTAAGCCCGAAGACAAAACAAACCCAAAAGAGGATGAAAAATAAATCTTTATTCAACTTAGTTGCTGTGCAACATTTTTACAAATGCACAAATTGAATCAAACAATTTACAACTGGAGGAAACCCAACTGAATACAAAGATGGAACAGACCCCTTGATATGTGCGGGAACTTAATGGTCAGCTGGCTCACTTGCTTGCAAACGCCATGATCTGCTCCTGCATAAGCAAAACAGGAAGCATCTTTTTTACAGACGCTTGTCAATTGGCAGACCCCCGTGAACCAAGTTGAAAAAAGGTCTGATTTACTGCCCGGTAAAAAAGGATTTGTCCTATTCGGAACATCTTTCCGTGAAGTGATTTCTTGCTTCAGCAAATGAGGTGCTCAGTTACATTATGATATTCATGCAATTATCATTTAATATTTACTAAAGATGTCTTTGGGAGTTATTCAAATCGTCTTGCCAAAACAACCCAAAAAATAAAAATAAAACACAAATTTGAACTCAGGACGAGGGCAAATACTTTGTCACGGCTCTGTAAGTGTGTGTCCTCCTCACAACAATTTTGGTCTGAATCACTTAGTAGCGAATAAAGCCATTTCACATGAGTGGTCGGTAATAAAAGGGGTGTGAAAACACAAGCCACCACCGCCGTCCACTGCCCGAGTGCCAGCGTTGCACCCCACCCACACGCTTTTGGTAACACTAAATTTAGGGCTAAACTTAGATGCCATAGTAGCACGTTCGGAGCCCTGGAAATTACAGGCACCGCTGAATTGAAGCTACGTGTAATCGCAAAAGAGCGCGGAGGCGGAGCTTAGCTTGGATAGGTTGACGGTTGGTGCGACCAGGTTGAGCGAGCTTGAGGTGAACTTACTTTTAGTGTCGGGAGCATGTTGGTGGCCTGCAGGCCGAAGGTCCGGAGGAGAACCACAGGGGCGGTATTGGTGGAATAGAGGCGCTTCATGAGGTCGATGGCGGCCATCATGGGCAGGTTGTGCCGCTGGCGCTCGCTTTCATATTCTAACAGGTGCTGCATTGCTCCTAGACAATAAACCAATTGGGGGTTAAAAACTGACAATGTGGCATCAAAGCAATATATAAGTTTAACCTCGGAAGGGGAAGTGGAGGGGGACACAATATCCCGTGAAAAGCAATGAACATTGAATTGTTGGCAAAAATGAATAAAGAGGGGGAAAAAAAAACATCAAACAAGAAGCTTTTTATAATTCAACAGCGTGCATGTGAGACGGGCCTTTGGAAAATAGTTTAAGGGAAACCACCGAGTTTTGGTTACAGTGCTCGTGTCTGTTTGGAGCTCTCACTGACCCAGGTCCTTCCCGTTAAAGGCGGCCTGGCTGAGTAGCTGTGTGAGGCAAGCCACATCCCCAAAGCCCAGGTTGGCTCCCTGACCGGCCAGAGGATGGACACGATGGGCTGCGTCCCTGGAAAGACAAACAGATGCTTGTCTCTACAAATACACGACCCACAACACACACACACACGCACGCACACACGCACACACACACACACACACACACACACACACACACACACACACACACACACACACACACACACACACACACACACAGGACGTTCTTCCGAATAAAAGTACAACGCAATCGTGAAAAGCCTGGTTCAGATTTCGAAACAATTTTCCTCGATAAAATAACGCGCCGAAGGGTAAAACTGTTGGCATCCAAAAGCCTTTGTGAATGCACATGCCATTTACTTGCCAACAATCTTTTGCTCAATGCAAATATGACCAAGCCAAATTGTTTAGGCAGGGAGCCTAATATTTTAACCCTTTCATGCACCTCGTAAACTTGATAAGATAAAAAAAAAAAACTACTTGTCTCACAATGGAGAAATTCGCAATTTACAGCAGCAAACATTATAAGCTGTCCGCTGTAGTCACCGCTGTCCCTGAAAGGGTTAACCACCAGCAATGAAGAAAGACAAAGTGTGTTGTGAGGAGACTGGCCTCATGCAGATGGCACAGCGACACGCTTCTGCCCTAAAAGTCAGCGGTTCTGGTTGGAGTCGCAGTTTGGCCCTTGGCATATTCTCCCTTGCCACGTACTTGTGTAAGTATTTCTCCGGGTATTCCAAAATTATGCACGTTTGATTAAAGACTTTACATTGTCCATAGTGTCTATATGTGCCCTGTGATTGACTGGCTACCAGTCGAGAGTCACGCCCAAATTCAGCTGCGATGGACTCCAACTCACGCATGACCCTGAACAGAATAAGACTGTCACACAAGTGTTGTCTTTTAGATCCCCTTCACATAACTTCTGGTGCATATTATTCTCTTTAAATGTTACCTCTTTTGGCATACGTGTTGTAAAAAAAAAAAATAAAAAAAAAAAAAAAATAAACTCACAGGAGAAGTTAAAACTGTAGTGGTACCTTGACTTGAGCGTCTTTAAGAGTCCCATTGTCAATTTAAAGGCACACTTCACACAAATACTACAGTGTGTGTGTGTGTGTCTTACGTATTTATATAAATATGAGACAAAGCATCCCCAAAATATCATTCAATTCCAATTTTCAGGACCCCTGCAACTCCTCAGCTTCAATCAAAGAGAAACTTTTCATCAAACGTGACACATTAACTGAAGCTCCAGTTCCTCTTACCCAACGAGTGCTACTCTGTGCCTAATGTACTCAGATGCGTGGCCCATGCCGAGAGGGAACATGACGCGGGATTTCGGGCCGATGGCCGCCACACTCGGGGGCAGCTGGCGAGGCGAACCCGCAGAGGGCATGATGGTGGCGAGTGCACTCCTGAAGAGGGACCCGGCTGTCTCAACCAGCTCCGACTGGTTCACGTTACTCCACTGTGGGTGCGCCGAGCGGAGGGATTTCAAACAGAGAGAAAGAAGAGCGCATGAGAGAGAAAACAGATGATATGGTTTAGTCTGGACAACGAAATTAACTGACATTGGAGCAAAGCTGAACTCCAGGCAAGGGCCGTTATTTGCCCTTCCTAAGTAAAGGGTTTGGCGAGGCCCGGGGAGTACGGCTAATTAAAAGAAGATGCAGGCCAGGCAATACAGTTGAATTAGCTTTGTTTGAAAAACATTCCATGCAGTAATGGTCGACACTGGGAGACCGCAAGTTTAATTACCAAACCAGGATTGAAACCAAACGTGACTCAACCGTGGTGACCCCATCCTTCAGCGGGCAGTAAAAATAGCCCCGCTTGGGAAAAAAGGAGTTCCTCCAAACACAAGAAAGGGATAGGTATGTCCAAGGGAATACTGCTATTGTTTCAAGTCTGGTCAAAACAAAGTGTTTACGTCTGACAAAACCAACTGGACGTGAGGAGAAGGACACAAAGCACACACGCGACACGGCACGCAAATGCGACAATGATCTGAGGGACGCTCCCTTGTTTTGATCGACACTCACAAAGGCGGAGTTGATAGCGTCAACAAAGCACTCGTCGTCCAACGCCATGAGCTCCTCGGCCAAGTGATGACTGGTCGACCACACGAGAGAGCTCTCTGTGTCCGACAGCTGCGGCATGAAGAGGATGCACAATAGACGTTGATCAAACACCACAAATACATTTCATCATCCATCCATCCAATTTGTAATCCGCGCATCATCACGAGGGTCGCGGGCGTGCTGGAGCCTATCCCAGCTGTCTTTGGGCAGTAGGCAGGGGACACCCTGAACTGGTTGCCAGCCAATCGCAGACATTTAATAATTTGGAGAAAAAAAACCCCACAAGAGTTTAAAATATGAATACATTACCGGTAACATTGCAATGGGTCCTGTTGGGAGGAACCTCTGCCATGCCACATTGTTCTCTGTAGGCTGTTAACACATGAAATAATGTACATTACATACACCCACCAGACAGTACTGCATCAACTGTGATTCGTCACTTCTATGCGGTTATGCAATTGAAGCATTCAAGCCTTTTAGTGTTTTTATTACTATTGACATGGATGAAGTTGTTTTATCTTAATGTGAAATTAACAGGTGAAAAATCACCGTCACATTACGTCAAAAGAGTGTTTTATTGCTTGATGGGGTTAATTGATTTTTACACTTGCCTCAAGTTAAAGAATGTTTGAATGTTTGAGTTAAAACATGAAAAGTCGTAAAGGTTTTCTGAAGGCAACAGTCTGCAAATGTTTATTTCTATACTATGACGGGGAAAACTGCATGGTGCAAAAACCTCACGAAGGGAAGGTTACTAGTGCCCCAGAACATCCAATGAAGAGGCTTGACTGTGCTTTTTCAACAGTGTGTGTGGTTATAATTTTGCAGCTACACTACGTCATACTGATTCAATTTAAGTAACTAAAGTTTCAGTCCAAATGAAATGCTGATGATACCAACATGTGACTCACCACAACAAATAGTAACTTTTTTTTGGGGGGGGGGGTTCTTCTATAGTATATATTTATTGCACCCACTCTGGCACTGACCAAAAAGTAAACGTCATGAAAATAAGCAAGTTACGACTCATTTTCAAAATGCCATGCATTGCCTTTGATGGGAAAATCGCCCCTGCCAACATGGCCACCATTTAGGCACGGCGGTTAGCCGGGCTGCTGTGGCGTACTGGCGAATGCATCTCTGGGATGTGTCATTGGTAATAGACCAATTCGAGGCCAGTATTTTGGGGTCATGAACCCTAGCATAGCAACTGTTGCTATCTTAAGAGTTGGTGGTGATTGATTATGGAAAATCCTGCAGATTCCTGGCCTAGTTGTAGCTCATAATGACGTCGAATCATTAAAATGAGGACATCATTAGCAAAAGGGTATCATCATGCTTTATACGGATACCTATATTTCTAGAGAGTTACTTCTTTATCTTATCTTTGACAAAATGCGTTTTTTGAATACTTCAAAATGTTTATTCCTTGAAAATAAAACGTTTGGTCGTTGAAAGGGGTAGAAGTTTGATCAACTGAACCATGACTTTCTTGTATCTCAGAATCTACCTGAGCGAGTTCTGCCTCATTTTGCAATGCGGGTCACATATTTCTTACTCTTCTAATACACTTCAACAGAACACACAACATAAAAAAAGTCAAGTCTGGGGAAAAAAAAGGAGGTGGCCCGTCATTCACCTCTGATAGACGCAGCACAGCAACCACAGCTGATTGATCGTAATCCCACTTGACTGTGGGAATACCTAATTGCCGCCTCACCATGGAGTTGGGTCCATCTGCGCCGATCTGAAACACACCAAGGAATAAAACAGATGATGAGACCATTCGAAGTTCGGAATTTGAATACAGAAATCTAACTTACAAGCAGCTTGGTCTGGAGAGTTTCCCCGCAGGCCAACACGACCTGCACCCAGGGGACGGAGCGCACCGCCTGGTGTGCCGTCGGCCAAATGTACTTCACCACTTTGGACCTGTACTTGACTTGCACATGATCTGACGAATGATCAGGGCAGAAAACAATGAAAGAAAAAAAAATTACCAGTGAAAACAAAGCGATCCATTTAGGTCTTAAATTACGCTTTAAATATTTGTCACTTCGAGCACACACAAACGCGCACGGACTAGTTATAAAACACCGCGGCCTTCTCCCTGGCACAAGAGGATCTTAAAGGCCTTGGTCTGCCGCACGCCATGGACTAATAGTGTTTATCTACAAGCCAACCACGCCACGCTTTGCACATGCTGTCGGCTTGTTGGATATTGCATCAAACCTCGTCCTGCACTTCCTAAAATACCGGCAGCTGGTCCTCCCCACAACATGAAAGCAGCCTGAGCTACGCTTGCTCATGCCGACTTGGAGCAGGACCCATCCACAGATTGGCTACTGGTTACCGAACATGGATGTTAAATATGGGGTTTTGGTGATTGGAGAGAGAGATTTCATTGAAAACAGCTGGCGGGCAGCACACTTTTCATGTACCGTACTACATTTTTGAGCCGCATGAGAGGGAGACAAATGGCAAGCACACGAGGCCAAAAAACCGAGCGGGGACCACACGTCCCTTGTTTGGCCTAAAAGCATTTATAAATATGCCACTGAAAGCGCCAAGCACATAGCAGGGTTGCTTTTTATTTGCAACATTTTGGTTTAATGTCAACAGCAATCGAGCGCTGCTGGTAGGCAGTCAGCACTTTTGAGCCCGGAGTGGCGGTGGCAGGGCAAGGAGCACATGGCAGCTTTAAATAGGTCACTGGACCACTTTAGGTGTCCTCGCGGGGCCCGGCCGGCCTCGGCAGTTCCGAAAATGTGAGGTTTTGATTTAAATGAATGGAAAAACATAAACAGATCATGGCGGGAATACAACTAAAAATGCCAGCGGATGGAATAATGCGGTGGCACGGGGCACTGTGTATGCGATTGACTGGGTAATTGCTCTGCTCACCCGACAGACTGTCCAGCTGTTTCGTGAGCGCAGCCACGACCACGTCGTTCTCCACGATGTAAGCCATCACCTCCTCCAGATTGTCCTTATCAAATGTGATCAGGGCATCGGAGCAGGCATCCCAAACCTAAATGAGAGAGTCATTACGCCTGCGGTCACGCCTCAAGTTAATCCTCCCCGGGCAGAGATGATCACGTGAAAATTGCTGCCGAAGCTTGGCGCAGCCTGTTAAATAGATTAGGTCACCAACACAGCAGTCATCTAGAACGGTGGTTTGGAAAGTTCTCATACAAAGCACAACCTAAGAAAATATTTAGCTCTCCAAGTGCCGCCATCATGACCAGCATTAAAAGAAAGTAGCAGAGTAGGCCTAAGCGTGCATGCGAAAAGAGACAGAGGTTTTGTTCCTTAAAAGGTATATTTAATATCATAGTAAGCCACTGTAACAAGATGCACAGTTTGAAGTTTAACACTGCATTGAAATGTAGGAAACTTAAATGCTACGTAAACAATGATTCAATGAAAACGCATGGCGCATTTTAAGTTCAATCAAAATTGTACCTTGAGTTTGAAACAATTTAACATTAAATGCAAATGTAATATGAAATACAAATGAATTAGGGCTGAACAATTAATCAATTTTAAATCGACATCGCAATGTAGTACAATGCAATTCTCAATGCGCGATGCTGAAAAGTGTCAGTGCTTAAGAAATGCACTCCGCATATTTTTTGCAATATTGGCGAAATCAGATTAATGACTTTGTTAGGTTAACGCCACACTTGCCAGGTAGAATTTCGTGAAGTTGCAATGAATGCTGAAAAGACTCCAAGTGAAAGTGTTTATTAAATTAAAGGCTAAGCGGCATTTAACAAGTTGGTCAAACATGTTATTTGGCGCACAAATTACATGTTTGTAAACAGTATGGAGACCGTAAATAATATCGGTTTCCGTTTAATTCCAATTCCAAACTTGAAAGTGCCATTTGAGTTCAACATGAGCGGGTGAAAGTGTTTGCTTAATCCTCTCCTGGGTTGTAACTATGCTGAGGGTAACCCATCATTCAGCTGTAATACACTACTGCTGCTACTACTCTTTCTCTCCAGCTCACCATAAAGTCAGGGGATATACCCTTTAAAAAAAACCACTAACGGTGTTTTGGGTTTGCAACTTGAGATAAGTGGTTAAGAGGAGGGGGAAGAAAAAAAAAGAAATTGTTTGGGGTTTGTTTAACGAAGGGTGACGCGATGCAACTATTGCTTTCCTTGCAAGATTTAAACAACTTCCTCGCAACCTTCGGAGAAAATGACCTTGCGCCGAATTTAAACTCTCTTTCCTTTAAAAGTGGGGAGAGTTTTCGCACGGCGCAAACGTTACTTAGACACGCAGCACATATTTGCCCTTCTACGGCTAAGATGTGAATGACTATGATCCAGCAAGCAAAACAAACAAAAAAGTAGCAGAATAAAAGGTATCATGGGTGAGGTACACTGCCATAATCGCCCGAAAAGGCACAGCTTGATGACATCTTAGCCCCGGAGTGAAACACTGCGGTCAAGGCTTTGGTATACAGCAACCACATCTTACAAGCCGGGTTGAGCCTTGCATCCATTGCCATGAAGCGGCAAACAACCTTTCATCTCGCTGCACTTGTTCACATGAATCTTCATAATTAGAAGACATGGGGAGTGAGTAGCAATTTGCAAACGTCAAAAAGACTTCATCCTCGTCAAAAGCACGGTTGTAAGAAGAAAAGAAACTAGGTCATCCAATGCTGGATCGCGTATGATGAAGGTGTGCGGGGTTTTTTTTTGTTTTTTTAAATAGTGCTGCTAATAAAGGCAAGCATTGCATAAAGGAATGAAGAAATTACATGTCAGCTGAACCCAGCATTTAATGTAAATGAAACCATACCATGTGCATAATTACACACACCACAAATGAGTTTTTTGTTCATTTCGCTGTAAGTTGGAGTATAAGTGGAATGTCAAAGGATTTGCTCTCCACAAATTGTATAGTATCATGATTATTGGATGACAGAAATACATGGAAAATATCAGTGTGCAGTGATTTTCAAGTTAAAAACAGCAAGATGGAGTCAAATAGAAAAAAAACTCAGGCAATGTGGCAACAGTATGAAAAACTACTTTTTTCCCCTTTTTTTTAGGCTTTAGAGCTCGATAGATAACAGGCATCAACATCAAAGAATGACTAACATACCTGCATCTTCTTATAAGGCTTGCACCTCCATTTTGTGATATGCTCCCATGCACCAATACCTGCAGAAAAAGAGACATTATACAATGACTTTGGAACTGCTTAAGTTGGAAAATTCTGAATTTCACTGACATTTGGGGCAAAAATATTTCACTATCGTAGCGAGTTGTGCATGACGTCAGGATAACAAATCATTTCTCCAAGTGTGTTTGTTGCTCCCCCCAAGGCACCACAAAAGGGTACTAGTGATAAAGCAAAAAACAAAACATGTAATGACAGTAATAAAATGAAAAATGACTTGAGCTGTGGTGTGAGAATAGCCTTAGAGTGAATATAAGTACAAAAGTGTTTAAGGAGAGATTTATCACAACCACTTGTCAGCTTCTTAGCATTGCACAAGTGTCCGTGTTTTATGTTGTGTTGTGTTGATTATTTTACTTTATGTTCACTGTTTTGTTAAGCGCTTTGTTACAGCTGCAGCTGTTGTGAAAGTGCTATATAAATCAGCATGTATTGTTTTGTATTGTATTTATCTGTCAACTCTCTAAGAACAAAAATGGAAGCAGGAGGATCATGTACAGAAGGAGGCCTGCTAAATCACAACAACAACAACGACGTAAAAATTGACTGTTTGATTTATGCCCAAAGACATAATATACTATTGGTGTAGCGTTTCTCAAACTATTTGAGGTGAGACACATCCTCTACATTGGAAAAATCACACGGCGCACTACCAAATAAAAACTGAAATAATGATGATCTTGTGTCACTTTACTCACAAACTGAGCCAGTGTGAGAGCTGGGCCTGTTTCCTTGAACACAAATAAAGCTCTGATTCCGTTGTAGTAATGGCAACAGATGGATTCACAGTTTAATTGTACCTTCTGCCATCTAGTGGAAAAACATTCGATTGCTCTGCATATCACTATATGTTGCTGGCATAAATAGTTTTCAAGGATACTATTTTTTTTTTTATCGATTGCTCTGCATATCACTATATGTTGCTGGCATAGTTTTCAAGGATACTATTTTTTTTTTTACGGCAAATGGATAATTTTCAGACCATTCGGTAAGATGGGACAATTTCCTGCAGCACATCTCTCACACTAATGCGCCACGGCACAGAGGTTGGGAATCACTACATTCGAGGTCAAAGGACGGTGATGTAGCCTACTGCACCAGTGAGGAGTGTAGCAGATCCTGGACTGATAGAGCTGACTCTGGTGCTGTAGCTGTCAGGGACCTTATCCATCACTTTCTTGTTTCCTGCTTCAAGGAGAAGGATCTTCTTCTCTGACAAGTTGGGATGCATGCCTGCCAGGGGAAAACTATATATCACGGTTGCTGCTGATTTGTTTTGTCATTTTTTTAATCAGCGCACACAATGTTTAGGATGTTGACAGCTCGATGTGGTCACTCACCGAGGGAGCATGCCATTGCAGTTCCAACCATTCCTCCCCCGGGTATAATAACATCATAAACCTCATTGTTGCCACTACCGTCACTATGGTCTGCGCACACTAGTCCTCGACGAACACTTTTTACTGCGGATGAGCGTTTTTCTGCCATTAAACAGCGCCCGAACCCATTCCGGGCTATGCTAGCCCTTGTAAGGTTTAGCATTATTCGGAATTCAAACTAAACAAGCCTGGCATTAAACTAGGATAAACATTCCCCAGTCGAAGCCTCGCCGCTTAAATATACTATGCAAATAGTGATTTCTCCTTGAGCGCGTCCGATAAAGAGCAGCCGAGTCACCTCAGTACTACAGCCATGTTGTGTTGACAACTTGGGCATGGGAATTCACTTCCGGCTTTATAGCCAATCACGATAGACCTTTGTCGCAGCTCGCGCTTCCGCTTTGGACAAGCGCTCGCAGAGACTCATTATCGACCAACATCGGTGCGGTCCTTGATGCCTTTTTCGGTTTTGTTTTGTTTTTGTTTTTTTGTTTTTAAATTTTGTAACAGAGTGTGTTATATTTTGCTTCTCTTCACTTGACTTATGAACAAAGAAGCCCCGATGTAGGGAAATACATAACTCGCCTTTTTTTCAGGTAAGCACCTGTAGCACTGTTCAAAATTACAACGACAACTCGCACATCAAAGTTGAAACCAACAATTAATGTAACACTTGTCTAAGTTAACTCTATATCCACATGATGCGCTCAGTTGAGTGTACTGTTTGGTTGCCAAGGTAACACGTAATTTGCAGGGGGGTGTGGTCATCTTCAAATTTATTCCAGTGGCCATTTGCAAGTATTTTCCAACGGAGAAGCTAGATAGTGGCATTGGTGGTTGGATAGAAACCTGTAGCCTAATGAATTTATGCTACACTAATAATGTTTTTTTTCCCCACCACAACTTTCACAGTTTGTAGTTTAAATACTTGTTTGTAGTTTAAATACTTGTTTTTACTTCCTGTCAGCCGTTTAGAATATAATGTCATTGATGCATGCCCGTCAGAGGCAGAGGGGTGAAAACACGTAGTTATTCGTGGCTTGAATTGAATTGGGTTCATTACTTTCCGACTGCCCCTTGTGGATGGATAGCGGGAGGGAGGCAGGAATGAATGTATAATGAATGCTGGATGGATTGATGGTGAAACCTATGCATTTCAGATGACATTTCAACCCTCTAGACCAACAAATATGTCAGAGCCAGAGATGATGCTTACAAGTAGTTTGAAGTCAAAAGAAGTCCTCCATCAAAGGCTGCGTTACCTGAGCGAGGCGATCCAACGGCAGCTGCAGGAGACGGAGAGGAGGCATAAAGAACAGTTGGAGAGCAGGATTCATCACAACACTCTCCTCTCACAAGATGTAAACAAACTGCCTCTCCAGACTAAGTAAGTCTCTTTTTTATTTGAATGATATAGAAGATGTGATTTTTTTGTAAATAATTCATTCTCTCATGGGGATGAAGGAGATCTGCCACTTGCCCTGACATCTGACAGTTATCTATCAAACTATTGTAGGCTGTTGGAGTTGTCTGCTCCAGTCTTGGAATCTTCATCGGAGTGCAAGCAACACTCCACTCGGTCTCCTGCCCGATCACAGCAATGTGAACGAGCGGTTTCATGCAAAACAACGCAGCAAAAGAAAGAGGAGGAGGCTGAGGCTGAGTGCAAGAAAAAGTTCAGCGCACTTCCTGTCCCCAATCAAGTCAGACTTCCTCTCTACCGGGAGATGATAGAACGGAGGGACGAGGAAAGGAAGCAAGGCTTAGAGCAAAGGAAAAGGTTTCTGCTTTCTGTTCAGAAGCCTTTCAGCTTCCAAGAGAGAGAGAAAAAAAAACAGGAGAAGCTGGTTGGACTGTTGAACCAGGCCTCACAGGAGGCAAAAAAGAAAACTGTAAAAACTGTCCAGCAGTCCTCTCCCAAAGAAGTCAAAGAGCCAGCAGGTACGAGAGCTTCCTTCCAACAAGAATGCATGATGACAATGGTGCATGAGGTTCAGGAAAGAATTGAGACAAAGGCTCATAATTGTACGTGATAAGCCGTTTACGTGTTTTTCTCACAGTTCTGGGATTTAGGGTTTGACTTTTGGCTGCGGCCTTCCTGTGTGGAGTTTATGTGTTCTCCCCGTTCTTGCGTGGGTTTTTCTGGCATCCCTACTTCCCAAAGTAGGCCATGTTGGATTCACTCAAGACTCTTCATTGTCCTTAGGTATGAATGTGAGTGTGAATGGCTGCCAGACGAACTGGCAACCACTCCAAGCTGTCGTCTCTCACTTCAAGTCAGCTGGGATAGATTCCAGCTCATCGACTACGAAGTGGTACAGAAATATATTGACGGATGGATGTGTTGTTTCATATCTATTGTGATGGTGTCGAAAATAAAACAACACCCCCCCCAAAAATGCCAATTATTTCTGGACTAAACTTTATGATCACTTATACAATGAAATCCATTAGAAGATCTGTATCCCCCAAAACCCATGTGCCAGATATTTTCGGCATTACAAAATGACAAAATCTTCGACATTTTTTCTTTCAATGTTAGACCGAGAACATTGTAGGATATCCCACCTCAGCACCACAAAACAGGAGAATCCCGAGGAGCGCAAATTTCGCATTGCAGAGCGCACCAGAATGGAAAAGCTGGGATTCCTGGATGAGAAGCCGAGCTTCCAGCCCAAGATCAATCACCAGGTGCCTGATTTCAACCGTCTGCACAAAGCTCTGCAGACACAAGTTCTGAAAACATCACTAAGTAGAGATCTGACCAAGTGTCAACCCTTCTACCTGAGAACATCCGCTCTTCCTGCCAGGCAAAGTAAGTCAAGTCCGGAAAACTCACAGGTAAGCATCCCTCTTCTTGCTGAGCTCACTTCCTCTTCTACTGTACTTGCTTATTCATGAAATGTGCTGTAATGTACTTTTACAATCCTGCAGTTTTTAATGAGATGCATGTCAACTTTTCTATATTCATTTTTTGCACTGATTCCTCATCTGCCGTCATTTAATGTACTTTTACAATCCTGCAGTTTTTAATGAGAGATGCATGTCAACTTTTCTATATTAATTTTTTGCACTGATTCCTCATCTGCCGTCATATTTTTTTTCTGTAGCGCATCATGTTTTGTTGAAATAATAATAATAATCATCATCATCATCATCATCATCATCATCATCATCACATGTGATATACTTAAATATTTAGTAATATTTGTGAATTAAACATTCAGGTAATCCACCTGTTGCTGAACCTAACATTGTAAAATGTTTTATAAAAAAAAATAAAAAAGACAAAAACCTGAGGTGGTAGCAAAAAGAAAATATATTAAATAATCAAAAATACTTTTAAATCAGTGTCAATACATTTAGGGACACATAAAGCCATTTTCAAGCTTCAACAAAAACACACAAAAAAAGAAAATACACACATATCATCATCCTCATCATAATTGTCATCATCTTCATCACAAGTGTCCCATCCTGTTTGCGTCTTTTGATGTTTATGGAGCTAGTTAAAATAGAACAAGCTAATGTTACATGAGCCTGGGTTCTCATAGAGAGATATTTATAAACCTCCTTATTGTATGTACCCTAACCTCTACAGCTAACCTCAGAATGTTATTCCAAAGCCATGTGCATGTCATCTTTGTGGGAAGGGAGTTTTTGTCGAGTCTTTCCAGGCAGTACCCAATGCACATATTATGTAAAAAGTGCGCCCGTTCTTACATAATAGTTCAGTTTTCTTCATGTTCTATTCTTGAGTCTGTTCACATGAAGATTTGTGGGGGTTTGGGGCGGGGGGGCTGCCAGAGGACTTTTAACAGAGGATAATTAATTCGAGAATAAAAAAGAAAAATATAGATCCATAAAATTTGTTTGTTAAGTAGGGCTGGAATTAAAGGGATGCCCATATGATATGATATTGAAACAGCATTACAAAAAGCATTGAGGGATATACTCCAATTGTTTGATGTTCTGAGTGGAGGCTAGCTGTCATGCATTTGGAAAACTTCAGATTCTTTTTTTTTTTTTAAACATGTCTGGGGTCTAGTTGTAGCCCCCAAAATATTGTATATTGCCCTCAAACTCACCATGAATAATTTAACAAAACTGTTCTTATAATGTATGCCTGTTTTATATTTTTCCCTTTTTAATTTATTCGTATTGTTATTTATTTCTTTCTTTTTTACAGATACTCAGTCAAAGTAATCTAAGTCGAAGTAAGTCATGTGGTGCCCTAAAATCGTTGTCCGCAGACACACTCCCAACTTACATCACAGATGCAACAAGGCAACGCTGCATGGCCATAAGGTAAGGTCACAAACGGGATCTTCTTTGGCTTGTGAGTGAGTGAGTGAACAGTTTTGGAATTTCCATTTTAGTCCGTTTTTATTTTTGGACTTTTGTGGGGGGGGGGGTTAACCTCAGTTTTTATTGTTAGCGCAAGTTTATTATTATTATTATTTTTTAATGCTTTGTTTTAATGTAGCTGCCGTTAGTTTTAGTGTTAGATTTTTTTAATATTTGGAGTGTTTGTCAAGGGCAAGATTAAAAAAAAAGATCACTAAGCATTGTGTAATAAAGTAAACTACAATTCTCAAACGATCCTTCTTCTGGACAGACAGACAGACAGACGGATTCCCACGCCTGCCTTTCAGACATTGATGTATTGACCTGCTTATTGATGTGACAAGTCAGACAGGCAGACAGGCAGACAGGCAGACAGGCAGACAGACAGACAGACAGACAGACAGACAGACAGACAGACAGACAACAATACCAAAATAAATTAATTTAAAATGAACCCTTAAAGCTCATGCATGATATTAATTAAGGATGAAAATGAAAGACATTTTTGAAGTAATTTTAGTTAGGTTTTACAAAAGTAAGATGACGCTTCAAGTATCGTTTTTATTACATTTTGGACACAAAAATGTTGATTTTTGGAGGAAATCCATGGAGATAAGGGACGGGAAGAATCAGGAGAGTGCAGACTGGCAGAGGAAATACCAGAGCAAGTCTGAGGCCATGAGGAAGACGGTTTCCCTCCATGCCAAGTTGCTGGACCCTCACAAAAGCTTGAAAGAAGTCTACGACGAGAGAGTGCGCCACCATCGGTGAGTGAGGGGCAAGCAAGTCCATTCCACTCCTAGTTTGTGGACATCTTTGTAAACTCATATCACATACACAGGGAGGCGGATCGACAAAGGGCAAGTGATTACTTGCGGGATCTGCAGGACATGAAGGCTCGCGTTCGAAAGCGCCCCCTTTTGTTTGAACAGGTGAAACAGGTGAGTGGCGTGTTCACACGCATCACCACCATCTTGCATGTGCTTCTGTGATGTCATTTTCATTTGATCAGAGACATGCCAAGGCGCAAGCGGAGCAGGTATACAAGAACGAGCTGAGGAAAGTTGGTGTAGAAGAGCAGTTTGTTGAAGAAAAGGCAGGCACGGTCACGGAGCTGTCGAGATCTAAGGGTGACACAAGCCCAGATGTCCACAACAACTACTGCAGCTTAACAGAGTGAGAATTTTTAGCACTTGTTTTCATCATACTTGACGTGTTCCCACCATGTCCGGTAATATTATGAATAGCGTGTTCATCGACGGGCCAAAGCCTTCATGTGGTTTTGCTCATGCGACATGACATAATTGTCAGGGCTTGCCCGGAACAAGAAAAATATAGGAGCCAAGTAAAAATGAAATATAATTACAATATAGACATTTTCTAACCCAACATGTCTGATTTAGGGAAGAAAATGTAGACGGGGGTGGAGAAAATTGAAGATGTGGAGGAGAACGGCGTTGCAGTCCAAAGGGGGAATGATCGTCATGATAAGACGGTACAATGTTTTTGTGGCCTCCTGGCTAGAACACAACACCGTATTCAAATATGACTCATGTCTACTTAACCACACCAACAATGGGATACGCCAACATTTGCAACTATCAATTAAAAAAAAAATCTCAAAACATCTGAAACCATAGAATCCCAAGGGGAAAACCCGCAACAATAGTACAAATAACCATGTAAATGAGCCACACAATGTCATACTTTAGGTGTTTGTAGATACGATATTGTACTATTAAAAAAATAACAATTGTGGACACTTGGTTATCAAAATAAACCTTTTCAAAACTCAATGCAAGGCCCCGTTCTGTTGCATTTGACGACGCGAGCGCCTTTTCTCACATAGCCTGGTTGAAGTTGCGAGTCACTATAGCCGCGCGGCCACCTAAATAAATCCTCGTGCAGTCACACTGACCAGCTTGGTGGTTTTTGCTGCGAGTCCACAGACCCACATCAATTGCTGTACTCTTGTACACTGGTCTCAAGTGGAAGGCTTTGCTTATACAGCTGACAACTTGGAATTTCAGATTTTTTTTTTTTTTTTGTAAAAAAAACCACATGAGAATGTCTCAATATGTATTCAATCATAATCAAAAACTCATCATGGGCGATACTGAGCGCTCCCTCTCGTGAGTGTATCATTCCTCAAAGCGACTGAAGTTTGTGTGACTTTGGATCCAAATGTCATTGAAAATCTGCCCGAATGTCAAGTTAATTTGCATTTGGAATGTAAGTTGCAGTCAAGAATGCATAGTAACCTTTTGAAATAAAATACCCCAAACAACGGCATGTAATTATCTCCTGTCACGATACTGTGATAAAAAAAAACGACGACAACTATTACAACATAGTGCTTAAGGATGTGCTGAACATTGCAGCCCTTCCATGAGATTTCAGCCATCACGTGACACGGCTGTCTCGTCTCGGCTCCATCCCCCCCCCCCCCCCGGTTGTCATGGGAACAGCGTATCCCAGGGATGCACCTCTGATGAAAGGGGGCGTGGCTAAAAACAACCCCAGGCCTTCCCAACCTGTTCCAGAGTATTAAAAGCATGACCTGAGTAGAAAGAAATTCATTGGCGCATGCATGTTGCAATTACTACAACTGAAAGCAGCATCGCAACGTATTGGTCTCCTCAAAATGGTGCGTTATGGAAATAGAAGCACACATTTGAATCTTGAGTTGTGTCATAGCAACATAAAAAACGCGTATTAACTTTTCATTCCCGAGCTCACCCGCAGGAGGAGCTGCGGCTCACTCCGCGAAGCCTGACTGGCGAGACACAAGCCAGAGATGCATCTTCTCTTTTTTTTTTCCTTTTCTCCTTCTGTGGCATGAATAATAACTGGAGAGAGAGCGAAAGAGAGAGCTCGTTGAGAGGCGAGTGGGGAAGGGGGTGGGGGGTGGGGTGGGGGGCGTGGGGGAGACAGCAGCGGAGACAGCAGCCACAGTGACAGTGCACAAGTTCAGAGCTCAGACTTACCTTTTGGGAAGGTGTGTATGTTTTTGCGCATGCACGTCCTCACTCCCGCAGCTCCCGTCCGCATCACTTGATGCTCCACTTTGTTTTGCAGGTGCAGAAGTTTTGTCTTGAGCATCATCTCCGGTGTTATGGCTCTGCCAGAACCGAGCCATCTTGTCCTTTAGAGGAGCTGCGTGTTTCCCCTCCAGAAGAACTTGAAGCCCCCCGAGGAGGATGGAGACGCTGTCAGGGAAGGACAAGGAGCTGATCCGGAGCAGCTGGGAAAGCCTGGGCAAAAATAAAGTTCCTCATGGCGTCATCATGTTTTCCAGGTAACTATGGGAATAGATAGAATGCACGGGGTTCGCAAGGATCTTGTCATCTTGTTTTGTTTGGAACTCCTCGCAGCATCACCTTTCCGCGCACACTTCCACCGGAAACCAGAGGCGGCTTGCCTAGTTGCTTGGCGACAGCCTTTAATATTGTTATTCGCTTGCCGCCAAATCTGACACGTGCAGGGGGGATTTAGAAATGTTAATTTGGAGGGGAAAATTTGCTCTGTCTGTAGTAGGACCTCTTTCAGTTTTGTGTGGCATTATTTTGGGAATCATAACTGTTGGGTTTATGAAATTACAGGGGAGTGGTTTCCAGTTAATCTGGTCAGCAGCAAGAGTGACTGTAAACATTTGAAAATTGCATATTTGCATACCCCCCGATTCAAACCCACCTTGCTATGATTTGCCCCCATGCTGATTCTCTGACTGACCATTTGGCCGTGTCTGACTGCATTGTATTGGTCTGAACCCTTGTCAAATGGGGAGGTATACTAAAACTGCACGATTTACTTTGCCTTCGAAGATTTATGTAAGGTATTCTCTACAGCAGCTGTCACCTTTTTGAACTGAGAACAACTTCTCGGGTACGGATTAATGCGAAGCGATACGGTCGGATACACACTTCTGAAATAACGCATTTTCTCAAATGACCTTTTAAATCCAGATTAACAGCTATGCTTTTTTTCAATAACTGTGGTTAAGGTCTTTTAAAAATGCATTTTTCGAAAATCACCGTGTGTTGTTTTTGTAATTTTAGTCAGCAACTTTTTACTTCTTTACTTTTAAATGTTTCAACTCTTTTGTCTGTAAATGCTTTTAAATGTTGTACTTTAAATTCTGTGAAGCACATTGAGTTACCTTGTGTATGAAATACGCTTATATTAATAAAGCTTACTTTCCTGGCCTCGCTTAAATAGTTAATAATATTCAATGAGGACACTGATCGTGCTAATTATTCCTCACAACAACTATCAATAATGACTTCACAAGGTAGGGAGAATAAATATCAACACAGAACATTTCTGGGCACCACGTGGGTCGTCCCTGCTGTACAGTAGATCAAAATGAAAGTTATTCTCTGAAAACAGCTGAAAGATGGCAACCCATGTGTGGTGCCAGTGTAAAATAATGTGTGATTTGTATCCTTGTTAGGCTTTTTGAGCTGGACCCAGCTCTTCTCACTCTTTTCCACTACAACACAAACTGTGGCAACACACAAGACTGCCTCTCCAGCCCAGAGTTCCTGGAGCATGTCACCAAGGTCAGCTTCTCGCCCTCAAAGTGTCTTTAACCCTTTCATGCCTCCTGTAAGCTGATAACATCTCTCCACTGTTGTAACCGCTGTCCCTAAAAGGGTTACGTAAGAGTGGGAATGATTATCAATCATCAATTTATTGATCGTTACCGTTTGGTTAATTGTGTGTTGAATCAACTGAATCAAAAAGTTCTCCCATTGCCTTAGAAAAAAAAAAATATCCAAAAGTAATGTGTTGTCGCTCAAGCAAAATGTAGCGAGAATCAGCCCACCATTTTCTTCACTGGTGGTTGGTCTCACTGATTCCAGGTGATGCTTGTGATCGATGCCGCCGTCAGCCACCTGGACGATCTTCACTCCTTGGGGGATTTTCTTCTCAACCTGGGGAGGAAGCATCAAGCCGTGGGGGTCAACCCACAGTCATTTGCTGTAGGACAAACTTATAGCAAGATTCGGGCAACAGATTTCTGTGGCGCCCACACTGACTTGTGTTTGTTTGGATCTCTTGCAGGTGGTGGGGGAGTCGCTCCTCTACATGCTGCAGTGCAATTTGGGCCAGGCCTACACCGCGGCCATGCGTCAAGCGTGGCTGAATATGTACGGCATCGTGGTGGCCGCCATGAGCCAAGGATGGGCTGAGAATGGCGAGGACAAGGCAGACTGAAGCGCCGCCGCGTGAGCTGCTGAGCGGCTGCTGTCCTCTTCACTCATTGTGGTTGCCATGGAACAAGGTTGTGTAACTGGCAGCGCTGTGGCTTTTTTTTTTTTGCTGCTGTACATTTGCTGTACATTAGTGGGGAGCGCAGAGCAAAGGCGAATGTATGGTGTGGCCACACTCCACCGATCACGGACTTCGTCTTTGCAGTGGTGTTTAGCAAGCAGGGTCCAAACCAGCCACCCTGAAGCAAAGCAAAGAAGCATAAAGGTTAACTTGTATATACTGTAATGCCTTTTATTCTATCATTCTGACCATAGTGAACTATGTGATGTATCCTAAACGCGTCACGCAGCGATGAATATTCCATTTACGCTACTCAAAGTGATACGAGTTTAGTGTGGCCCACACGGGGCAGCTCTGGGTCGAATTGTGACCAAAACAAAATGGCATCACTATACTCATCGAGGTGTATTTGTTTTCTGTATGTTATCCAACTTTTAATGTATTTACGAAAGGCTCAGATAACAATTTTGTTTTTTTTCCAACGGACAAACTACCAACAGCTACTGACAAGAACTGTTACACACTGATAGCTTTCTACCATAATCTCTGACTGTTATGGTGTCCTCGTGCACCTTATTTTACACGGTGTATGGCACTCATTTCAATGGAGGCCGTGAGTACGTATCTCAGTTGTCTTCATCTGACTGTTAACAAACAAGACTGTTATGTTCAGCGAAAGGGTGTAGTAGGACTTTGTTGGTGTTAATCACTGTAGTCAGTGTTTTTTGTGAACGCAGCCACTAAACAACTGATGGTAAACATTTGTTTTCGATTTGAACATAAATGACCTCCTAATTGAGTGTAAAGGGATTTTATACATCCTATATCTGTATCATCGCGCTTTTGGTCAACATCAAATTTTAATCAGAGATGGCTTGATGGGTCAATTAACATATTTGTGATGCCAATTTCAAAAATGTCTTTTTTTTTCAAGCGCATCAGATTTTTCAGATATTTAAATTTTTTGTTGCGGTGCGGATTTTACCACGCGTTGTAATTTATCGCAATGATGTCTTATGTGAAAGTGCTACATAAGTAAAGATGAGTTGAGAGTCAAAAAGAAAACAAAATCCACCTGTTGATGAACCTAACCCTAATTAAAACATATTACAAAATAGATTGCTATATTACACATTGTATTTTTATCAGTTCTGAAAACGGATGGACATTATTATTATTATTATTATTATTATTATTATTATTATTATTATTATTATTATTATTTTGAAATGCTGATGTGCCAGAGGAAAAACAAAACAAGGGCGGATTTGGAATCACCCCCCCAAAAATAAATCATCTAAAAAAGTTGACTTGCATCTCTGATTAAAATATTTCGTTAAAAAAATTGTTGACCAGTGTTCTTCGCATAATCGTGGTTCTGAATTTCTTTCGATGCCAAGTATTTTAACAACAGTGTGCCAAGTATTTGATCACACAACTGTAAATCCAAGTTGCTGATATGTGGTTTTTAACGCTTTATCTTGAGTTTACATTGAAAAAGTTTATTTTTATATTCCAAACTTTGATGTATATTAACTCGAGCCATTGTAGATTTACATGAAAATTCAATCTTAACGACTACAAAATATACTTGCACCGGTCGCTTAATTAGGTACGCACAAGCAACCTGACGTGATCCGATACTGGATGATTGACGCTGTCAAGTGAGACATTCTTTTAATCATGCTTATCATTGCCATGTGCACATGTAGAATTTCTCTGCGACATGCTGAGCGGTGTTCCTAATATGTTGCCACTCAACCGTAGCTAAAACAAGGCAACCAAAATATTAGAAGCAGCTCCCAGTATGATGCAGCATAGTGCAACACTACTGCTAAACGACAACCAGAACAATAAACAATTATTTTTTTGTCAAGGCAGATATCCAGAGAGTGTATTTAAACCCTGCGTTGTCTGTGTTTTTCCAGGTGTACCATTTGTTCAACTGGCTGTGTAGGTGGTGTATTTGTGGTGTTTCCTTTGCTAGCCTTGGTACATCGCCCTATGCGGGTTGCCTCTATTTTCAATCATCTTTTTTACAAGGCGCCACAGACACATGATATATAATTCTGGGAACATCCGGTTGTGCACAGCGACACGGCCATCGCTGTCTACCTCATCATTATTGTCAGCTGCTATACGGATCAGTGATGACTTCACTTAGTTATCCCTTGACCCTCCCCCCCTTAAAAAAAATAAACACACATAATTAGAGTGAGTAATGCCAGTAAGTAAGCACTCTTTGTAAACTGAATTCAATGCTACAGTTTCCTAACTTTTGTGTGTGCATACTTAAAGACTCAATAAAGTAATTTATTGTGGACGTTTTAGAGCAAATCCGGGTCAGTGTGTTGTCACATTGTCACAGATGCTTCAAACTCAAAGGCGGCCATTTGATTTCAGTCACAAGAGGCCCAATATCTTATACGTTGCCAGTTACGTAACAGCCGTGAATGGCTCATCGCCCTGAGCGGCAGAAATGAGGGTGGCTTTGGGCACATCAGCACATTTACGCATGCAACCGCACAATACCACATCAAGAGGGGAGCAGCAAAGATTTGCCAAGAATTGACAAATTCAGGCTGGGTCTTGGAGATAATTGTATTCCCGCAGGCTTGAATATCGGTTTGTGCACGCTTAAGTGACTGAGTGAGGGTTGTATCATGCCATGAGCGGGCTGTCTGTTCTGCTGTTGGATCCGTGGCTGACATGGCCTTAATTTGTCTCTGTGCACACTGCCAACACTCCTAACCCGATGAGCGTCTCCAGTATTTATGTTGCTTCACAACAGCACTCGTCTAGCCACTGGGCTGGAGACGGATGAGACGCTGACCCAAGCCTCTCACAGGTCACCTAACAGTGCAGAATGACTGCTACAGTGATTAAGGGGCCGTAAGTCAATAGGTGGCAATTCATTTAGGATTTGTCACTGTAGTGCTACACTCCTGCCTTGTACGCTCTGAAGGTTGTCGTCTGCGAGAAAAGGTATTATTTTTAGAAAGTCTGCAACGTGTTTTGGAAAGAAGGGGTATTGCATGTTGTCATGGCAACTGTGAAGCGGTGTGTGCAAGAGCGTGCGCATGCATGTGTTGGCGCGCTTGTGTTTGTTTTTGATGAAAGAGCAGAACAAGGCATCGCTCGGTCGTCCCAAATAATACGACGGAGAGGACAGAACCGTGACCGGAGCAGGCTTAGGTTTCTTCAACGTTTTCAAGAGCTTTTTTCCAAAATTGAACAGAATGAGGCCGAGTTATGGTTTCACTGACTCATGAGATAGTAAATTGCGTTTTGGAATATAAGCACATCATTACTTTCCCCATACTTTGGCCTTTCCATCACATTGGTAGAGGTTAATGTGCATCTCATGAGTTCATGAAACTTTGTTCCAAAACAAAGTTGGCTCAAATGAAGAATGCGACAGTCTGGTGATGTCACTGGGTCGCAGGATCGTTGATACAGTTATTGCAAGTAACAGTTATGCAACCAAATATGAAATCTTAATCATTTTAATATAATACTTTTGCTCACCTGAAAAGTGGGTGGCTTCAAACAATAGGTGCTCTGCCGTGAGTTGTTTCAACACATCTAGATGGAAACACCATGAAATAAAAGTTGGAACGCTCAGCTTTTGATCTGAAACCCAAATGTCTTTAATGTACAACAAAAACAAAGGAACTGACCTTGCTGTTCCAATACTTATGTGGAAACTGTATGTCGCAGTTAATTCCTGTAGGAGGTAAAGGACTTTTCTATTCTAAGTATCTGGCCAGGAGGAAGAGGAAGAGGAGAGTGACAGGTTGGGCACTCGGAGGAATTTACCTTTCATGGAGAAGCATGTTGCTCCTGGTGACAGGGGAAATGTCACTCTTAGCTATGAACATGCACTGTAAGGTACAAACGGGCACATGTGTAGAGTTTTGGATTATTTCACTGCAAACATTTAATGATTCTTATCTGATGCACATTTTGGATTTGATTGCCCCCATCCTTCCCTCTAATGTGGCTCTGGGAGGCAGCAATATATTCCGCAGCATGCGCTGAGGCTAGTTCGTATGCAGACACAATTCTTCAGCCATTACTTAACAGACTTTTGCATTCATGAATGCAGCGGCTTCAGCCCAATGGTTATTCTTCATCAGGGGCACTGGACCTTGGTTTCATCGGACCATAACAGTCTCCCTCATGCGCTGGGAGAATTCAAGTCTGTCTCTTTTTTTTTTTCTTTGTAAGATGAGGCTTCTTGTCATATTAACCCAGACGTAAGAAGATTATTGTTACATGAGCTAAACAGCAAGGCCTCTTAGCAGCCTCCCTGCCTCATTGGTTTCATTTTTTGGAGAAATATCCTTCTAATGTGAATGCCATATTTTCTTCACTTAATGACAACTGCCCTCACTATGTTCCATTGAATTGGGGTGTGTAGTTTTTTTTTATACTGTCTGTATTTTTATAGCTAATATCTGATGGGTATTATTGAAATGTTAAGCGATGGCATGGAACATAGGGGAGCCGAATGGATTTTTATTTTGGATTACAGCAGTTAAGACTGTTGACAAATGGGAACAAGCCTGAAAGAGGAAAAAAATGGAAACGGCGCTCTTCTTGGACACGGCCACGCATACAAATAGTATGAACACGAAAGAAACGTTGGATAAATCAACTTTAAATGATTGATCCAAAGTAAACGAACACCCAACATGAACACTATCGAACCACAAAAGTGAACAATTCTTGTTTGGCTTTTAACCCAAAAAAACAACAGCAGCCTTCAACGTTCAATTGTTCATCAGATGATGTTGGGATGCTTGATGTTTACTTCAAATGTCTTGAAATGTTTACATATCCTGCAAGGACTTGAGAAAGGAGGATAGGATATTCCATTTTATGGCATAACAGTTTTGAAGTACAAGCCTTCTCTAAGAAATGAAAACATGTTCAAAAGCAACTACAGTGCAAAAAAATAAATAAATAAATAAAATAAAAAATAGATTTTTGGTTGCATGTGATTAAAATCTATTAAACTAACATTTATTTAATTTTGAGGAAAACATCCCTGCCTCATTGGTTTCATTTTTTGGAGAAATATCCTTCTAATGTGAATGCCATATTTTCTTCACTTAATGACAACTGCCCTCACTATGTTCCATTGAATTGGGGTGTGTAGTTTTTTTTTATACTGTCTGTATTTTTATAGCTAATATCTGATGGGTATTATTGAAATGTTAAGCGATGGCATGGAACATAGGGGAGCCGAATGGATTTTTATTTTGGATTACAGCAGTTAAGACTGTTGACAAATGGGAACAAGCCTGAAAGAGGAAAAAAATGGAAACGTTGCTCTTCTTGGACACGTCCACGCATTCAAATAGTATGAACACGAAAGACACGTTGGATAAATCAACTTTAAATAATTGATCCAAAGTAAACGAACACCCAACATGAACACTATCGAACCACAAAAGTGAACAATTCTTGTTTGGCTTTTAACCCAAAAAAACAACAGCAGCCTTCAACGTTCAATTGTTCATCAGATGATGTTGGGATGCTTGATGTTTACTTCAAATGTCTTGAAATGTTTACATATCCTGCAAGGACTTGAGAAAGGAGGATAGGATATTCCATTTTATGGCATAACAGTTTTGAAGTACAAGCCTTCTCTAAGAAATGAAAACATGTTCAAAAGCAACTACAGTGCAAAAAAATAAATAAATAAATAAAATAAAAAATAGATTTTTGGTTGCATGTGATTAAAATCTATTAAACTAACATTTATTTAAT